CTCGAAGCTTCTAGTTTTGTTCTATCCGGGAAGGAGCACTAGATGGACCCGCGGCCGATTCTAACGCAAAGGTAAAAAATGAACATCGGGAACACGAATTAATATCAGATAAAATATTTATTCATTCATCAACTACTATTCTTAACCTTATTTAATTTCTATCAATAATTTACTCTTTATTAATTAAATAAATTTCTATAATAATTTTTTTATTTTGCTACCGAATTATTTTATTTTCTACCATTTCGACCAGCATCTCCTAAAAAATTTGGACTTCCACCTGTTAAAAATAGCAACATATCAAATATTTTCCAACCCAACACAAGCCCAAATCCAGTAGGCAATCCAAATCCAAGTGAACTTAATCTCCGTCCCCAATCATTATCCATGATCAAACATTAATTCATTGAAATTCTTCTTTTTAATTCCGTAATAATAAACCAGTAATTCTACAAATTTATTCTATTAACTAAAAAACTAATTCTTTAAATTTAACCAAAGTAATTTTTAATTTAATCAACACTTACTTTAATAAAACCTCAATTAACCATTCATAATTGCTAAGTAATTAAAACTTAAATTAATTAACACTACAAAATTAAAATGAAATATTTAAAATTTCATTAGGCCTAATATTACTAAAATTAAATTAATCAAACTAAAAAGAAGTATGGAAATATTAATGCTAACTAAAATTGACTTTAAAATTTTAGACCTAACTATCAATGAAAAAAATTTAAACTAATATATTCATTAACCCAATTTAACAATGTATAACCCAATATCTTACTGCCGGGAAAATGAAGAGCAAGGTGGAAGGCTAAGTGGCCGGGACGATAGGTGCGCTTTGGCAAGCAGGCCGTAGGGCTGCCTGTGGCCGGTCGGCGGAGGTGACCGATCGGCGCGCATGGTAGCGCCCTATAGGGTGTCTGAGTTGGCTAGTAGCGCCTTGGCAGCGGCTGTGGGCCGCTTGCTGTAGGGCGCGACAGAGGGGCAGCCAGTCGCGATCTGGGCTTGCTGGCCGCGACCGTGGAAAGCTGCTCTGTGAAGGTGGCGACTCATCAGCAGTTGAGCCTACTAAGCCAGTAGTGTGCCGGTGGATCGATCTGCTCCAAACTTGCAGGCTCGCACACAACAGGTAGGGAAGAAGGAAAGAAAAGAAAAGGAAGGTAAAAGGAAAAGGGAAAGGGAAAAAGAAAGAGAACAGGAAGGAAGAAGAAAAAGAATGAAGAAGAAAAGAGGAGGTGGAGGAGGAGGTTGGTGGGTCCGGAGGTGGTGTCGCTGATAAGGTGGGTCCAAGAAGCGCAGAAAAAAAACGTGGGAGGGAGTGAGGCATACTGTCTGATAACTCAACCAATCGACAACAAAATGTAGCGCTAGAAAAGAGGAAAAAAAAGAAACAATTCTAAGAATTGAGAATATTGGGTCAAACCCGCGATTCCGCTCTCACGAAGTTCCGCCGTCTCGGCACCAATTCTCGCGTACTCACACATTTGGTCTTAACGGATATTTTCAATCGCACTTTTTTTGTCTCGAAGTTTTCACACAAAGAGTCACCCATCCAATAAACATATTTAAAATAAATTTCAGCGACCATCGGTTTTTATTTAAATTTAATTTGGGGAAAATCTGAACATCATAAAAAGATCCGGAGTTGTTCTCAACCTCCTAAACTTGGCGTGTATCATTATCTCTCTCTGGCATAAAATTAATGAATTATTCAAAATTAAAGCATGAATTTACTTCATCACCTCTCAAAATTATATATATGCTCTCTACACAAAAAACGAGCTAACAATTAAAACTTTTCTCAACACATTCAGACTAACATGAACAGAAAACATCTTTAACAATTGCCATAAAACGCAACTTCAATAACTAATTTCAATGCCAAGTAGTGTTAAATCCAGAATATGTAGTATAATTAATTATTCCAATCGTGAAGAACACCCATACGATGAGATGGGTTATAGATATACATAGAATTCTCAATACAGCAAAAACGCAACCAAGACAAAGAGGGGTCAGAACGTTAAAATGGTATCTCACCAAATATAGATACCTCAATATTGAAAAAGCTACTCTCGCATTTAGGATTAAAAAAAAAGGAGATACAACAAATATAACTCTCTCAGTCGTATATATTTGCTCTTTAACTTTTATAATTAATTAATTATTATATAATAAAATATATATAGCTCTGGCACGAACCATCAGAATTCATTTAATTTAATAACTATGGTCTGTCAAAGGACTACATCCACGTTTATAAGCTATAGTGGAAATAATTATGGATTCAATTTTAAATTTCCATTTTAAGCTAAAATTTCACGACATTCAAAAATTTTGACCGAAAATGTATCACCAATACAAAGTAACCTTGTTAAATCTCCCTTTCCTAAATAAAAAGTTCAGAGAGGATAAGATTTGGGCTAAAAATATTAACCTATAACAACAATTTATTGATATCCTTCAAAAAAATCAAATATTTCTAGACAAAAATTCGCCTGTTATTATTATTTATTTTTTTTAAAACTGAATTCCAACCTTCACAGTAAGTCCCAAATTACGTCAGTAACATTCAAACCAAATCGAAATTAATGACCACAGAGTTCACATTAAAATATTAAAATAAATTTCCAAGCTGTCGGTTTATTAAATTTAATTGGAAAATCTTTGAAAATAAAAATTCGAGTTGTTTCACCTCCTAAACTTGTTATATTTTTTTTGAAAATTAATGAATTGATTCAATTTAACATGATTTACTTTTATCACTTAATTTATTATGCACTAAAAACGCTAACATTAAACTTTTTCAACACTCATGAACAGACATTTAAAATCCATAAAGCATCATCTATTTCAATGCATAGTAAATCCAGAATATGTAGTATAATTTTAATATATTCAATGTGAGAAATACATGAATTTTATATATAATAAATCTAATAACAAAGGTCAGCTTTAAAATGTTTAAATTATACATCAATGAAGTCAATATCATCGATTAAGGTAAAAAAGGATACAACATATTTCGTGTATATTTTTTTTTATTTTATAATTAATTATTTTTTAATAAATTATATAGCTTGATTCGAATTATAATTTTAATAAATGTCTGTCAAGGAATCTCACGTTATAAGTATAGTGAATAATTATGGATTCAATTTAATCATTTTAAGCAAATTCCGACATTAAATTGACCGAAAATGTTCAAATATAACCTTTTTAATCCCTTTAAATAAATTCAGGAGGTAAATTGGCTAAAATATTAATATAACATTTTTGATATTTCAAAATAAATTCTAGACCAAATTCGCCTTTATTATTATTATTTTTAACTGATCCAACTTCAAAGTAAGTCAAAACGAGTAACATCAAACCAAATCAATATGATTCTCCAAATATTATGATTTGGTTGGTTTTTTTTTTTAATCTTAATTTACTCTATCTAATGTCAATTCAATTTAGGTCGAACCAAACCCGGTAATTTTGCCATCATCATCAACTTGTCAACCGTAGTTAAAATCTCATGTGTAGTTCTATGATTAAAGTTATGTTTAAGCAAATTGTTGATAAAGTGGTTAAGCTATAATGGGTGACCATGTCCATGCCTTGTGCCCACTCGTCAACGGTCAATTTCTCTTCTATACTTCTCTCCAATTTCTCGTTAAATAGTCACGACAATAAATACTAAAAAGAATAATCAGTCTCCTGCTCACTCAACAGCTCATACAGAGGAGCTGATGAAGGAAACTTACACGTGTCGTACATTCATGAGTGAGGAGAGATCAGGACCATCAGTTTTACTGTGGTTTGCAACTATATGGCCTGATGTGGAAAATGTCTGATCAAGTGCAGTCGAGATTCCTCTAATGGGTACTTGTGTAATTTGATTAATGAAGGTGTGTATTTGTAGGTGAATTGTATAATATAATTGCGAATCGGCTAAGGTTACCCTAATCATGTTATTGTCCCCTTAACGGTTCATAAGCTAACGTGGGATCATCATGATTGTCCAATTCATTGGCTCTGTCCGTCTCAATCTTGACCGTTAATCTTGCTTTCCTCTCTCTCTCTTTTTCTGATTAACAATAAATGACAGAAGAAACTTACATTTTCTTTATAAAATAGAGAAAAAAAAAATGCCAGAGAAGTAAGAGGATACACGCAATGAGTTATTTACTTAAGCTTAAGCTTTATGATTTGCCTACAAGTCTAAAATCATAAGTAGGATTAGCTTTTTAAAAATCATATTCTATTCTCATAATGTTTTATCACATTACTCCATTGTCTAATTTTATTTTACTTCACATAGTGTATTAAGTAAGATATATATATACACACGCTTATATATATGAAAATTAATTGATATATAAATTTTAAAATCATCATTTAGAAATAATGTAGAAATTGGAGTTTTTTCATATAATGTATAAAGTTTGAATCTTTTATCCAACCAGTGATGGATTAAATATTGTAAGTAAATATTAGTCTAGATTGATCGTTCAATAGAATGTTCGTCTATTTTTGTGAAGAAATTAAAGAAAAATAAATTGTTCTAATAAATAAGTTGAATCAAATTAAATGGAGAAATAAAAAATCTACATTTCACCGAAATGGAATGAATTAAATCAAAAAAATTTTATTGCAAAATTAGAATAGTATATATAAAAAACTTACTTTTTAGATAATTATGCATTAGTCTCAAGTTGAGAGAATAAATTCAGCATTTTAAACTCAAACATTTTTTATTATATTGAGAAGTCACTTAAATTAAGGCTAAATGTGTAAATGGTCAATAATAATAACTTTATACATGTGGTGAACGAAAGGTAAAGAGAAGATGTAAACTTAGATGACAATCCATCCAAAATATCACGATAAATTTACTAGACTAGAAATTGAAGAGAGATTACTGTCAGCTACTATATAGCATAGGTTTTCTCACCAGCCTACACTTTTTCCATTTTGTTCTCATTTCACTGTAATTATCTATCTTCCCAAGGTCTAGTTCATACACAACACTTTACTTTTCTTCAACACTCCCTACCCTCTCACATGCCTTCTTTCCTCTCTCTAGAGTTTGTACCTCTGAAGCTTTTTTCTCAGTCTCATATGGTTGTCTCTGCTACTGAAAGGTGAGCCCTTTGTAGAACCCCAGTTTTGCATTTTACACTTCTTCTCTCCAAGGTTTACTTTTCTTTTGCTTTTTGTATGTGGAAATGTTTATCTTAATTTTGCTGGTTTTTGCTCTTTGTAACTGTCATGGATCAGTGGGTTCTTTGAATAACGAAGGGTTTGCTCTTTTGTCATTTAAACAGTCCATATATCAAGACCCAGAAGGGTCTTTAAGCAACTGGAACTCCTCTGATGAGAATCCTTGTTCATGGAATGGGGTTACATGCAAGGAGTTAAGAGTCGTGTCTCTTAGTATTCCAAAGAAGAAACTTTATGGGTTTCTTCCTTCTTCTCTCGGGTCTCTCTCTGACCTTAGACATGTAAATTTGAGGAACAATAGGCTCTTTGGTAACTTGCCTGCTGAGCTCTTTCAAGCTCAAGGGCTACAAAGTCTTGTCCTTTATGGTAATGCTTTTTCTGGGTTTTTGCCAAATGAATTTGGCAAGCTTAAATACCTTCAAACTTTGGATTTATCACAGAACCTTTTCAATGGGTCAATACCCATATCAATTGTTCAATGTAAGAGACTTAGAATCCTTGATCTAAGCCAAAACAATTTTACTGGTTCTTTACCAGATGGGTTGGGTTCTGGTTTGGTTTCTCTTGAAAAACTTAATCTTTCATTTAATAAATTCAATGGTTCAATTCCTAGTGATATGGGAAATTTGTCTAGTTTGCAAGGAACTGTTGATTTGTCACATAATCATTTCACTGGTTCAATCCCAGCTAGTCTTGGAAACCTTCCTGAGAAGGTTTACATTGATTTAACTTATAACAATCTGAGTGGTCCAATACCTCAAAATGGTGCTCTAATGAACAGAGGACCAACAGCTTTTATTGGGAATCCTGGGCTCTGTGGTCCTCCATTGAAGAATCCTTGTTCTTCAGACGCAACTGGTGCAAGTTCACCTTCATCAATTCCCTTTTTGCCCGGTAGCTACCCACCTCAAGATTTGGATAATAATGGTGGTAAGGAGAAAGCAAGAGGACTAAGTAAGAGTGCTGTTATTGCAATAATTGTGAGTGATATAATTGGAATTTGCCTCGTCGGTTTGTTATTTTCATACTGTTATTCGAGGGTTTGTGCTTGTAGTAAAGATAAGGATGAGAGTGGTTATGTTTTTGACAAGGGAGGTAAGGGAAGTCAGGAGTGTTTGTGCTTTAGGAAAGATGAGTCTGAAACTCTATCTGAGAATTTGGAGCAGTATGATCTTGTGCCGCTGGATAAGCAGGTGGCTTTTGATTTAGATGAGCTGCTCAAGGCTTCAGCTTTTGTTTTAGGGAAGAGTGGAATTGGTATTGTATACAAGGTTGTACTTGAAGATGGTCTCACTTTAGCTGTAAGAAGATTAGGGGAAGGGGGTTCTCAAAGATTTAAGGAATTCCAGACAGAAGTAGAAGCAATTGGGAAGATAAGGCATCCTAATATTGTAACTCTCAGAGCATACTATTGGTCTGTGGATGAGAAGTTGCTGATATATGATTATATACCTAATGGAAGTCTTGCTACTGCACTACATGGTAAGTTGTAGAAACCAGCTTGCAGCAAATAATGCACATTTACTTTTCTCTAATTTCAGTTAATAATAGTTATTTTAATTACTGAGCAATATTGTTTTTGTTCATTTTTAATGTCTTTAGGGAAGCCTGGAATGGTTTCATTTACACCATTGTCCTGGTCTGTCCGGTTGAAAATCATTAAGGGGATTGCAAAAGGCTTGGTATATCTGCACGAATTCAGCCCTAAAAAGTATGTTCATGGAGATCTAAAGCCAAGTAACATACTTCTTGGACATGACATGGAACCACACATTTCTGACTTTGGACTTGGGCGACTTGCTAATATTGCCGGAGCGTCCCCTACCCTACAATCCACTCGAATTGCTGCGGAGAAACCACAAGAGAGACAACAAAAGAGTGGACCTAGCTCAGAAGTAGCTACAGTTTCATCAACAAATTTGGTATCTTATTATCAGGCCCCTGAAGCACTTAAAGTGGTAAAACCATCACAGAAATGGGATGTTTACTCTTATGGAGTGATGTTACTAGAAATGATAACTGGGAGATCTCCAGTAGTCCATGTGGATACCTTAGAAATGGATCTTGTTCAGTGGATTCAACTTTGCATTGAAGAACAAAAACCACTTGCAGATGTTTTAGATCCATATTTAGCTCCAGATGTGGACAAGGAAGAAGAAATTATTGCAGTTCTAAAGGTAGCAATGGCTTGTGTTCATAGTTGCCCTGAAAGGAGACCTACAATGAGGCACGTCTCTGATGCTTTGAGCAGACTGGTTGTATCCTCTGACTGAGAAATCTAATGGGATTGTGTATTTGGGGCTTACTAATTCTTGAAGACCTTTATTTTGTCCATGAATATTGAAAAATGATGAAATTAATCTGTGTAATTTATGTCTTTCTTCTTGCTAGGAATTTTTTTCTTTGTTCTTGGGTCTGCATAAAGGGGCATTTTATTGCTTTTGTAGGAGATTAGATTGGCTTGTTGGTGTACATGTGAAGGGATGTTTTCTTCTTGCTCTTATTGCAGACCTTTGTCTCTTTGTTTGTACTGTCTATGAAAAGTTAATTACTTGTTTATTGCATATTTTTTGGTAATAAGAAACATTATTATCGAGAAGTGTATCAATTAGCGATGGATAAAATGTCCCAATGACATGAGAATTAAAAAAGAAAGTTCCTGATTATGGTTGACTGTGCCACTCACATACCCATAAATCTGGAATTTAGTAGGTTAATTTAATATATAACAGACTTAATACAGGGTTTGAGAACTGTTTTATAATATTATTATATCATCTTATTATTAAATTAAAAATTTATATAAAAAAAGACGTTGTTGATTGAAGGAATAAACTTAATGTAATGAACATAATATGGTATAGGTTAAGCTGATTTGTAATATCATTTTATCATTGCATTAAAGAAATAATAATAATTTTTAAGCATGAAAAGAGAATGGTTTTGTGCATGCGTGGTCTGATTAATCTTCTACTTATTTAAGGAGTAAGAGATTTCGAATTTGAGTCCTTTTGACTGTAAGTGTTTTCACCGATTTCGACCTATCAGACTTATTAATGAATAAAAAAAATTGTGGTTTAAAGAGTTTCATAACATTTCATGAATTAGGAAGTGTAACGGTTAGATGAAAGATTAACCCTTTTAGAGGGATAGAGATTATATTTTAAAGCCCTTCTCAATATACAGACTTCACGACTTGATCTCAATCATTAAATCAAACTATTTTGAGTATTATTAAGCATTATTTATATAATACTGTGACATAAAAATTATATATTTAAAAATATTTAAGTTAAGTGACTCGTGCTTAAACAGAAAGCAATGAGAAATGAATTTGAAGTGGGCCAACCATGTGGCGCGAATGTAGGGGGGTTGGACTCCACTAATCCAATCAAACAAGAAAGTTGTTCATTTTAGCTGTGATTGTCTTTAAATAATGATTTTGTTTATTTTATTTGACCTTTAAGACATATTTTTGTTGGAATGTCTTTTGTCAATTCACTCCAGCTAGCTCACTTACCTTCTGCCTAATTCAGATTTTAGGTCTTCGTTTTTTAATCTAGGGTTCATTTAATTTCTCTATTCACCGCAATATTTGGGATGTTACCAAAATTACTTCACAAATGTTATTTAGGTTAATTCATCTCGGTATTCAGTACATGTCTTGTAATGCAAAAAATCACTCACTTTGTTCTTAAATACTTATTATATTTAAATTTTCACGTTTTAAAGAAAACCATTTAATTTATGTAAATTATAATAAATGATTGAGTAAATTGATTATATTATCCTTAATTTATCTAAATTTCAATAAATTATTGAGGAAGTAAACCAATCATTATTGATCATATATAAAGAATAAAAATGAAAAAAATAATTTATTATTTATAAAATCCATAAATGTGACAAGTATTTGCAAACATAGTAATTCCTAGAGTAAAAATTTATGCTTGAAATTCTCTTATTTTTAAGCATTTTTACTTGCGCGTCTACAAATGATTTACCTCTTTTTTTTTAAAAAAAAAAAAAAATTGTCTCTATATAAGGTTTGATCTAATTCAATACTTCCTCCATTTATTTTCAACAACTAATTCAATATTCCTTTTAAGTTTCAGTCCATCAAACTAAGATATCTTTCCATTTATTTTAATGGATTTTACCGTTCAGTCAGCATAAAAAGACCAAAATACCCTTTCTCTCTCTATCTGTCTCTCCCCTTCTTTCCATTTTCATTTATCAGTTTTCTTCATAATCTCCATCTTGTTTCCTCGTAATCTCCATCTTGTTCTTCCCCCACTCCAATTCTTTTGTTCAATGTTTCCTCAAATTTTGAATATAAAAATTACCATAAAATTTTTCTCAAGCAGTTTAGAAATATAAATAATTTGCATCATATAAACCACTTCCATCAACTTTAAAAACATCCAGCGAATCTATCTTCCTTTGTTTTGTGTATTTTAAATATTTTACAGTTGGTTGGGTTCCATTCTATTGTCAATGTTGCTTTTCTATTTTTGCATTAAAATATAATAATCAAACCATCCAATTAAATTTTTTCCTTAAAATAAAGTTTCTTGAGAAACAAACAGAAAACAAAAACAAAAATTTTGAATAGAAAAACAATTCTGTTCAGTAACTCTAATCTCCATACATTTCAAAGTAACAATTTTGAAGTATGCACTTATGATGTTTAGTACTATGAAGTATACTTAGCATTAGTAATAGTTTTATTGCTCCATAAACATACACGAACTACTTCTCCGTTTATTACTTTGGTTAACGTCTTTCTTGTTTCTTTTCAAGCTCAAAATTCTTATCTAGTGCTTTAAAACCATTAGAGCAGAGCTTCACTTTTTTGCGATCCTTAGCCGCGTTACACGTTCTACTAACATGCTGTCAAAATTCAGAAAATAACTTATCATGTCCTAACAAACTACAATATATATCCAATCTAATATTATTAGATGAAAAAGATATATATAATTTGAGAAAAATACAGTAAAAGACTCTTAATTACCTCCAAGTAACATCGTCAAGAGACTTCCAATAGTTCTCCCTATCCTTATAAAGTAAATTGAATTCTGATTCTTTCCGAAACAGTTTTAATCCAGGTCCTGAAACAATTAAAAATGCAAATTTAATTGTATAGGCATTAAAATTTAATGTTTCAAACCTTCGGGTTGTGACTCAGTTGACAATGCAGGTTGGACATGTAGGAAGAATTTTTGGGTTCAATTCCCACTAAACACACTTGCAGGGAGGGGCGAAGAGTCTTAAATATGACTGAATCCCGAGCCAAATTTGTTGGTTCCTGGTAATAGGGTCCGGATACCAATAGTTTACATAAAAAAAATTTCATATTTCAAGATCGATTTTATATAAATATACCAAACATGTCGTCTAGGTCACTTGCTAGCATTGAGAAATCAGAATCAGCTCGTATGCAGACTTTCCTGCCAATATCTTCTCCATATTTGTATACTTTCACTTGTTTGCTGGACATTCCTCCTTGCCCTAAAACTTATACATGCACAATAAACTTCAGTTAGACATTTCTAATGTATTTTTTACTTTTGTTTTTCTTGGTACAAATAAGTTTCTATCTACTACTTGTTTTTGTTGCCCTCAATTGCTTCTAATTTTGTTCTGAACTCTCAGCTATTAGTTTCTGATATAGCTTAGCCTCAACACCTCTATAGTAAATTCTTTTAGAATGATCAATTTTAGAATATATTTTGGAATATATCTTACAATATATTTTATTAAATTCTCAGCAACATCAACTTTAGAATATATTTCATCCAAGAAAAATTTATTGCTCTCTGTCAATTTTAGAATATATGATCATGCACATTCATAAACAATATCTAAAATGATGCTTTTCTGGCAAAGCCATTTTAACTAAATTGAAGTAGTATTGGTATTGGTAATGTATTTAATATTAAGTTTATAATAAGTTGTGCTTACTTTTAATACAAAATGGCCTAAGCTACTTTGATTGGTTCACCATTCTCATTATATGTCACTTAGTATTTTATGTATTTAGCCAATGTGGAATTACCCACGCACTTCAATACTTCCTCCTCAATTGGGATTACCCACTTAACAAGCATATGATGACCCAACGCGAGCCTATCAGGGTACGACCCAATAATTATGACTAATAAAATAAATAATATCTTAGAGATGTTTAAAAACTAATAATAGTATTAATATCAATATTAATTAATATTTAGGAATAAATCTAATCAAATACACACACATATAAATATACTTGAAAAGTTGTATTAATTTTAATTTACCTATCTAGAATAATAATAACATATGTAAATAATACACATACACATATATATATGCCGGAAGGGAAAAATAATGTCACGATCCGTTTTCAAGATCGGACCGACACTAGGGCTTGGGTGGGCTTAAGACCTCCTAGGCCCACAGTAAGCCTAAATCAATTAAGCTCATTATGTTCACCATTGTGGCCTCAAGCCCAAAAATCATATTCTCGTAATCAAGGCCCAATCCGATACTTCATGGATGTATCGAAAATACAAATTATATGATCAATACATATATCCACATTATTCAATTACAACCCATTTGGAAGATAATTTCAGAACTTTATAAATTATAATCTTTTTACATTAACATGCTTTATATAATTATTATTATTTTCCTTTATTAGTATTTCAACTCAGTTGGATCCATAGGGTTCTTCTTTTCATGGAGTTAGATAACCTTCTCACCCCATATAATCACACGTATGATAATTATATTATACAATTAGTAGCCCTCCGGCTAATAATGAATGAACATGCAAGCATGAATTTCACATTTATCAAACAAATCACAATAATTCAAGTAATCGATCAGTGGATATTAGTCCGTGGAATTACCTATTATAAACAAGGATCATGCTCACTCCCAAAACATGCTTTAAAATAATTTCTGGAAAGATAAATCCATAGTTCTTATGTCAAGTGCACTCAGGGAGCCCATTCCCTTTTGGGCTTGATGGTTCCATTTCGTCTGATTCTCCTTTCTTTCTTTTCCCTTTTCTAACTATTAATTTTCTTTTCCTTTTTGTTTTAGCATTGATGCATAATGAAACATAGAGTGCACAGGGGGCGCCACTCCACCTACTTACGGCATTCTCACTATGCACGTGCTCTCACCCTAGGGTGACCCACATCATTTTAACTCCACGACACATCACAAATAAGTCATATACAATCACAAAATTTCATATTTTAACTATAATTATTAATTTTAATTTACAATGATTATTAATTAACTATTATATTCACGTTAATATCAATATGAAAACATATTATAATATTATAAAATTTAAATAATATAATAGGAGAATTATAATCAATGCTTAATATTACACAAAAAATTAATAAACGAATAATGAGAACATGCAACGTATGTCATATATATATATATATAAGTAGGATTAGGGAGAGGGAACATTGGGATTGGTTGAAAAAATATTTAATTTGATTAGTTACATTAGTTACATATTTAAATCTAAATTATATAGGCTAATAAATAAAATAAAAAATATTATTATTTTATAAAAAAATATAATGATTAATTTTTATTTATGAAATTTATTGTCTAGCAAGAAAGTTACTTTAATTAAAATTTATTGAATAAAATATTACATGTAATTATATTAATATTAATATGAAAGTTTTTAAAAATGTAAATATTACATTAGATTTGACAAATAGAATATAATAAATCAAACACAATTTAAATGATAGACAATTGTTTATACTTTGGCATAAAAGGTAAAAAAGAACATTTCCCTCTATTACTTTGGCTAACGACTTTCTTGTTTCTTCTCAAGCTCAAAATTCTTATGTAGTGCTTTAAAACCATAAGAGCGGAGCTTCACTTTCTTGCAATCCTTAGTCGCGTTACACGTTCTACAAACACGCTGTAAAAGTTCAGAAAATAACTTATCACGCCCTAAAAAACGACAATATATATCCAATCTAATGTTGTAATGATGAGAAAGATATAGTTTGAGATAACTACAGTAAAAACTCTTACCTCCAAGTTACACCATCAAGAGTCTTCCATTCGTTCTCCATATCCTTATAAAGCAATGAGAATGCTGATCCTGCTCGGAACAGATTTAATCCAGGTCCTGACACAATTAAAAATGCAAATTTAATTGCATAGGCAATAAAAAATTTCATGTTTCAAGGTTGATTTTATATAAATATACCAAACTTGTGTTCTAGGTCAAGTGCTAGCATTGAGTAATCAGAATCATCTTGTATGCAAACTTTCCTGCCAATGGCTACTCCATCCATGTAGACTTTCACTCGTTTGCCCGACATTCCTCCTTGCGCTATGACTTATACATGCACAATCAAACACTTGTTATCTAAACTTCTGCAGTTATGTCAACTTAAGTATCGATTGAAAATATTCTAGTATAATGGTTTTTGTAGTGTGATAAACATCGTTGTCACTCATGTTTTGAAATAAGAGTTTTTACTAGTTCTATTATCTGTTTACTGTTTTTCTTAACATCATTTCCTGATGTGCATGTTTGCCTTCAAAAGATGATTCTCCAAACTTCTAGTAAGAATTCTTTTAGAATATGCCTATATTAAAAAGGAAAAAAAAAAAAACTAATAAAATAAAAGAAAGATCAAGATTCATACATTGACTTGATGGATGATAATCTTCAGGCTGCAAGGTTCTGAGACTAAGATTGAGATCAATACCATCATCTTCCTTTGTATTAGAATCCATTATAGTATATAGCAGAAAGAACTAAATATTAATCTTGAATGTTTAGAAGGAATTGCTATGCACTAGATAGGAGAACCTAGCTATATATATATATGTATGACTGGGAAGGGAGAACATTGGGTTTGGTTAAAAAAATAAAAGTAATTTAATTTGATAGGTTACTTTAGTTTCATATTTAAATCTAAATTCTATAGGCTAATAAATAAAATAAAAATTATTTTTATTACAAAAGATTATAATTATAAATTCTAATTTATGAAGTTGATTGTGTGGCAAAAATTACTTTAATTAAAATTTATTAAGTAAAATATTATATATGTAATTATATCAATATTAACATAAAGGTTCAGAAAATTGTAAAGATTTACATTAGATTTGAAAAACGTGAAGAATATAATAAATCAAATACAATTTAAATGATGGACATTAGTTTACACATATTATAGATATTATTAACCATAATATAAAATTAAATTATGTTTCATCAATATTAAATCAAGTATATATTATGAGTCCTAATTATTATATTTTTTCCAATCTTACTGGGAATTAGAATCCTATTGTAATTCTAGTAAATTATAATGTCCTACCAACCACTATATATATTTACTTTCTCCGGAAAGACAATCAACACAAAATTTATTATTAACAAATAAATTTTATTTTCTTGGCAATGGAGAATTAGTTTGAAAGTCACTATAAAGAACTTTTGGGTTTGTTACAAAGGATATGTGAAGACTTCTTACGTTAGTATTGGTAATCAATTTTTTTTTTTTATTTTGCTATTTAAATGATAAATTATTTTTTTCGTTAATTTTCAATATTTTAATCAGATAATGGAAAATATTGCGAAAAATATTTTTAAAAAATAAGATATTGTTTAGAAAATAAATTATGCCTTAGATTTGCTATCGGTTTGTATTTTGCGGAAGAAAGAGTGTTACTATTTGATGGATAGTTTGTTACATAGAGATATAATGTTTTGCTTATGGTAAATCTGTAGATAAGTAATTGATATAGCTAATTCATTCATTCTAGGTTGTCAAGTACGAGTTGATTTTTCTATATTTTATTGTAATATTTGTCTATTACTTTTGTAAAATATTTAAATCTCTTCAATTAGCAAGTTGATTTTCTATATTTGGTTGCGATGTTTTTCTGTTACTTCTTGAAGAAATTTAATATTCTTCAATGAGCTTAAAATTAAAATGAGGTGAGGGTGAGGTTTAAATCCTGATGTAAGGTATTATAATTTGATGGACAATTTGCTATATAGAGATATAATATTCTATTTATGGTAAATTTGTAAACAATTAATTGATATAGCTTATTTTTTCATTCAAAATTGTTAAGTTCATGTTGATTTTTTTTATATTTGATTACAATATTTATCTGTTACTTTTGTAAGAAATTTAATACTCTAAATTAGCAGGTTGATTTTCTATATTTGGTTGCTTCGTCCCTAATTGATCGACACACTTTCTAATTCTCAAAGAATTAAGAAAAAATTAGTTATTATAGTTAAAAATATTAATTTGTATGTATTTTTCCTATTATACCATTACTTTGATATAAGATATACTTAATAATCTATTATTGACTTTTTGCATCAATCAAGATTAATTAATTATAGAAGATTGGTTAATATATATTGAAAATGTCTAAATTTAGTAAATACTCATATTTTCAATTTTCAAAGTGATTGTCAATAATAATGGCGTTGGAAAATAAAGAAGAATTGATAAAAATAAAATAGTTATTTTTAACGAGTAACATCAAATATGGGTATAATAGAATTTAACATTAACTAACTAATTAAAAGGGTATATGGCTTATACTTTGAGACAAATAAAAAAGGAAAGTTTGCCTATCAATTAAGGACGGATGAAGTACTTGTATAAAAAATTTAATATTCTTCAATCAGGTTAGAAATTAAAGTGAGATTCAAAATTTGACATAAAGTTTTACTATTTGATCGACAATTTACTACATAGAGACATACAATTTTGTACATGTTAAATTTGTATACAATTAATTAATATAGCTGATTCTTTTTTTTCAGAGTTGTCAAGTACATATTAATTTATATATTTGATTGTAAGATTTATCTATTACTTTTGTAAAATTTAATACTTTTTAATTAGTAGGTTGATTTTCTATATTTAATTGTAACCTTTCTCTATTACATTACATATGTAAGAAAGTTAGTATGCTTCGATGAGGTTGCAAATTAAAGTGAGGTAAGGGTAAGGTTCAAACCCGAACGTAAAGTGTCACTATCTAATGGATAGTTTACTATAACATGTTTTTATGGTAAATTTGTGAACAATTAATTGATATAGATGATTTCTTTATTTAGAGTAGTTAAGTACAAGTGATTTTTTTTTTTATATTTGATTGCAACTTTTATATATTACTTTTATAAGAAATTCATTACTTTGGTAAGAAATATGATACTCTTCAATTAGCATATTGATTTTCTATATTTGGTTGCAAAATTTTCCTATTACTTTTGTAAGAAATATAATATTCTTCAATGAGGTAACAAATTAAAGTGAGGTGAGCATTAGATTCAAACCTAGACGTAAAGTATTACTATTTGATGGATAATTTACTATATAAAAACATAACAATTTGCTTATGGTAAAGCTGAATTCCTTTTCATTCAAAGTTGTCAAATATAGGTAGATTTGTCTATATTTGATTGTAATGTTTATCTATTACTTTGGTAAGAAATTTAATACTTTTCAATTAGCAGGTTAATTTTCTATATTTGCTTACAACGTTTCTCTATTACTTCGATAAGAAATTTAGTATAATTCAATGAAGTCAGAAACGTAGGGTGAGATTGAGGTTCAAATTCAGGCATAACTTGTTATTATTTGATAGATAGCTTGGTATATAAAGTGTCATGACCCATTAGCTTAGGCTGGACCGGCACTAAGGCTTAAAGTCACCAAAGCCTATAGTAAGTCAATACACCAAACAAATTTTCCTGCTTAATAAAGACGATCTCGTCCCCAAAATCATCATCTAACAAATATCATAAATATGGGGCTTACTTTGCCTCTATCATCGCGTTCGATAATATTTCAATTTCTAAAGTTCTCAAGACTCTATACATTATAATGCAGAAACGTTTATAAATTTTACATCATTAAGTTATATAAATTACTACACATAACTGTCATAATTGTGAAACAATCTAAAACATATAATTTTAAAATATTTACCGTAGATTCTTCTAGACATCTGATGACAGAGGACAATAAATCATTGAAAGACCTGTAACTTGGAAAGAAAATTATTAAAGCAGGGTTGAGCGCCTAAACTCAGTGAGCAAGTTAGATAACCCTCTCGCCCCACACAATCACACAAATGCATATGTAAATCAATCTAGTCATCTGACTAGTTATATGATCATGCAATCAATCACACAAATGACATAACAACAATTACAAATATTAATACATCCACATAATCACATAAAGTGAAAATTGGTCAGTGGCACCACTAAAACCCCTGACGAGCTGTTCTCACACATGGCCCGCCCTCTCATCACGTGTGTACTAGGGAGTTGATCCCCTTACATGGCTGATCGGTCTCAACCTCACTTGAACAGTTCTCTCATTTTTTTATACTCTCTTTTCTTTTCTATACCAACAGGAGGCCACCATGTGGTTTTTCTATATCATTCATATTATCAGATGCATACAAAGGCATTGATCTCTCCATACATGGCTGACTGTATCGTAGACTGCCCTCACAAACCCAGCGGTGACCTACTTCATTCCAATTCCACACAAACAAAGCATACATGTTGCATACCACAACTAATCAAACAATCTTCAATAGCAATAAATAATTCAACACAAATAGCAATTTACTAGGTGATGCTTGTATAACATTTATCGTATATGCATAAATGCAAAATGCATGTGGATGATGTGAAGTTATCTAACCCTAGGGACTGAAATATTAAATTTTGTGTTATTGTGTAAGAGAAAAAGGGGATTGGTTTGTAAAAATTCAATCAAGGCAATCAAAAGAAAAGTAACTAATAAATTTAAATTGGAATTCAATCTAATAAACATTCAATTCAAGGTGATTTGCAATCCAATGCATACATGATCATAGACAAATTAGGAATTAATTATTCTTTGAATACTTAACTGACCAATACATGATCATAGACAAAATTAGGAATTAAATTATTCTTTGAATTACTTAAACTGAAACTTTTGAATACTTAACTGAAACTTACCAACAATTAATTCTTTGAATACTTAACTGAAACTTACCAACAAGCATGATAAATTCCCTGATTTCCCTATTATCGTTAATTTGAGCTCAGCACCCTCATTAACTCTAATTATTAAATAAACCAGAATTAACCAATTCTTTTTAATCTAATGAAAGCATTAAGAACAGGGAGTAGTTAAACTTGCATAACAATTTAAAAACCATAAATTGTTTAATTCAACCATATTATTTCTTTAGATTATTATTGAAAACTTGGAACATAATCGGTAAAACCTAATTATAAATTATGAAGATGAAATAACACTTAATCATACCAAATAATTGACTAATAGGCCTTTTTAACAAATCATTCAATAGGACTAACACCTTAAATACAAGAAACAGCAAATATTCAAAGAGAATCAATTTAAAGTAAGAACATGTCTCACAAATATACAAATGGATGTTGAATCCCTTGAATTGAACTAAGAAATTAGCCACTCATGCCAATGGCTTACAATCACTAAAACAAAAGAATAGAAAAAGATACTCAAAATAGATGATGAACTAAGTAAAAACCTTAATATCTTGCTGCTTCCAAAATTACTCCTTTTATAGCCTCAAAGACGACAGAAAATCCCCAATAAATTAGGGATTTTGAAAGCAATCAATTGAAAATCTTCTCGTTCTAATTTCTCTCCCCTTTTTTTAGCCCTTCTCTTTTCGAATCTCTCTCTGATTCTTCAAAAAACTTGAAGATCTCCTCAGCTGTCCAACGAGCTATAATTCATCCAAAATGGATACTTACAGCTCAAGATATGGTAAAAACACCGAAATAGGTATGTTGGTCTTCAACATACGTTATAGCAGAATGATCAAATTGTCTGTCGTTTTTAACACTCAAAACGACGTCACGTCATTTCACTTTAGTGGTCTTCATTAGTGGTCTTCATAACAATTGTAGAGCTGGCTATTAAGGTTCAAATGGGCCCGGGCTGAGTTTATTTGGACATGTAAAACTCCATATATGAATTAAACACCGAAACCTGCTGTGCATGCTCATTCTAAACATTTCTCCTGGATTCAAAGCTACTTTTGATCAACATTGAGGCTGAATTGGATTTTGATCCTTCTTAGACATTTGTAGAGTTTTGTTTCATCTTTCCAATGGATCAAACGGATTCTAGTTTGGACGCCTACAACTTTAGATATTCCTAAAAAACCGAACAAAGGTCAAGACAATAAAAATGTTGAAAATTTCTTAATTTAATGATATTATTCCAAAAGTAACTAAGATCATGTCTAATTGATAAAAATAAATTGTCTAATGATATTATTCCAAAAGTAACTAAGATCATGTCTAATTGATAAAAATTGTCTAACCAACTAAGTTAAACTTAAAAATAATTCAGAAATACCAAAAATATTGAGAATAAAAGTAACAAATTATGCACATATCAGTTATCTAACACTACTCACTTGTTAGAACTTCTATTGATTCAAATTTCCTACTTCGATCTTTATCGACTTGAACAAGACCTTTCTGAAAATCTAGAAAGATAGCTAGGGAAGAAAATTTAGTTTAGGAGTTTCAAATTTAGTAGCTTGGTTCAAAATTCCTAAATTATTTATTTTAATTTATATATATGTTATATGTACTAGCATAAATTCTACATTTCGATTCGAATATTTTAGTTTCCCAAAATTTTTGATTAGTTTTGATTTCTTAATTGTTCCCCTAACTTATATTTTCTCCGGGCCTAATTCTTTTATTTCATATTGCCCATCCAACTACATTGCCAAAAATTCGGTAGCATCTCCCCTAAAACCGGATTAGTCCCATATTTTCGATCTTTCATGATCAAACACTAAAACACATATATTTGTATTGAAAACAAACGTAGTCCATCCATCGGACAAAGAATCGTCAATCAATCCCCATCCTCCATCAATTCACTAAGCTCAACTATATTATCATTCAATAATTTTCTTTGAAATAATATTCCTAATTCTTAAACCATTATCATCGATGTACCGTTTCAATTGATATATTGATCAATCATATCTATTAAACAAGGAAATTATATATTTGCATTCCAAAATCCTACGATTGCTTTTTAATTAACTAAGCTTGATTAAGTTTGATAAGTTATTATTATTATTATTATATTTTTTTTAATAATAATTTCCTATTTGTTGTTGAAGATTTAAACCTCGAACAACGATTAATTCAAATGAAAACTTTTATATGTTCTCCACTAATTCAAATTTGAGTTTACATTGCCAAATCAAATTAATTATATTTGTTAAATAGATTATTAATTTTTTTTATGGTCTAAAACCAAATTCAAGTCCTAACAAAAATATGATGAGTTCAAGACCTTAGAGCTTACCAATGCGAAAAGTAAAAGCGTCATGGTAACCAGCAAAATGAGAAGATGTTGCTGCCTCTATTGTCTCACCGGAGAGTAGCCGGAGCTGCCATGGACGGTGGCCGAAAAATCGAACTTCTCCAAAAAAATGCAACGTGTTGTATTATCTTGCTCCATTTTGCACGAGGACTCTCGTTCTAAGGCCCATTTTGCGAGACAAGGTCTCCTAATGGGCGAAACGACCTCGACAGTCTCCTCCCCACCACCATTCATGGTGGATCTATTACAACTCAACAGTTGCACGAATCGATGGAGGAAAAATCATTCCAGAGGTGATAAAGAATCAATCTCGACTAGCTTGACTGATCAACTTGCTGGAAATGGCTTGAATTCGGCCTGCGAAACTGAATCGGAATCTGTCTCTCTCCCTCACGCGAAGAACAACCAACAAAATAAGAAAGAAAGCTGACTATGATGAAAAGGAGGCCGAAACTCAATTTTTCTCAACGGAAATGGAGATTTAATTGGCCGTTGATTGGCCGAAAATGAATCGGAGAGGGTGAGGGAAAGGGTGCTTGCTGAACCTGAGAGGGAGAAAGGTGAGACGAAAATTCTCTCTCCTTACCCTAATGGCTAAAGGTGGAACTGGTTTTGTTCTTAGAAGATTCTAGATTTTAGCTGGTTCAATTTTTTTGTTTCTAGAGGTTTCTCTATTGGTTCAATTGATTTTGTTGATTTCTATTAGTTTGGCCTATCCTTATTTTTGTGTTTAATAATATTATCAATTACAATAATATTTGAGTGTAGGACAATAAATTAAACGGCAGTCATGTAATAATAATTAACTTAATATTTAATTCTCAATATTTTATTTCTTATATATATTTAAAAATTTAAAAGGTTCTCAATTAAAAATTTTGATAATATGTTTTTGAGCTTGAACCCAACTTTGCAAACTTGGATTTAAAGTATAATTGTTCAGCATTTACAGACTATATAGTCGAAAATCTGAATTTTTAATTTAATTGAAATTTGAAAGTTTTAAAAATAAAATTATGGAATGTTTCATAGTGGTATAACATTTTACTTATGGTAAATCTCGTGGACAATTAATTGATATAATTGATTCTTTCATTGTTGTTAGATCCAAGTTGATTTTTTCATATTTAATTGTAACATTTGTCTTCTTTTATAAAAAATTTAACATTCTTCAATTAGCAGGTTGTTTTTCTATATTTGGTTATAATGTTTCTCTATCACTTATAAAATAAATTTGTTATTCTTCAATGAGGTACAAATCAAATTGAGGTGAGATTGAGATTCAAACTCGGATGTAAAATATCTTTGTCTTGACTGTTAGGCCACAATTTTATTAGCTTGTTAGATTATATTATAATTGCATTAAGTACGATAAAAAGTACCTTTTGACCATTTTATACACGAAATCTCATTTTTAATAGTAAAATTGGACACAAGTAGAAAATTGCACAACTTAATATTGGATTTTATGAAATTCAATTATCATATACTCTCTTTATTCTCTTCGTATAGAGAAACTTTTCAATTAAGGTGTTTTTTTAGATAGAGAATTTTACTTCAAATGAAAACTTTGAAAAGGATGTGAGATGAAAAGTTAAAAATACCTTATATGAGTTATATTATCCGCATGAAAATTACTCTCTGAATGAGAAAAATGGCAGACAAAAGAAAAGGAATAGCATTTAATGTACTTATGTTTTTAAAGTATGATCGAACAACTATTTTTCTACGTGGTTTTTCACAATGTGCTCGACTTTATGGATGTGAATACAAATATGATATTTTGTGTAATTATCTATAATATGGACACAATTGGATAGTTACACCTAGTTTTAAAAGACTCTTTTATGTTGACATTATACCTTGTAAATATATACACAAATTTCATTCTATCACTCAACCACAATGTCTTATTCTTCATCAAGTAAGGAGTTCAAATCTAATAGTTGGAAAATTGTGCTCATATCTTAAGACTGGGTGAGCGAATTTGTTGAAATGGTATTGAGATCAAGTAAAAATGGAGGGTTCATGATGTAAGAATTATTTTTTCCCTCTTTCTATTGCCCTTTTTTTGAAAGTCTGTGGATACAATTACATATTTATATTCTATTCAATTTATATTTGAGCATATTGTAGAAGCTGAGGAGATAGGGAGAGTAATTAAAATTTTAGCTCCGCATTTTCGTTATATTTGCAGGAAAAAATATTTGAAAATGCTCAAGAGTTGATTTAAATAAGGGAAATTTATAATTTCAAACAAGAAGAATTAATTTGGGAAAATTTGAATTTTTAAGAGAATAATGTGGATATCTCACATTTTCCTTCTGTGTTCTCTAGAATTCCCCTAATTAGTTAGCCTTTGGGAGTCTATCCGCATGAGTTGACTCTCTCTCAATTAACGTCATTTAAGGGTAAAATAGGCATAAAATGAAAAATTGTTCAGTTGGAATGTCCTCTTAATCCCTATGCAAATTTTGTTTACATCCAGAAACTTACATGAACTACATTTCCCTTTATTACTTTGGCATAAAAGGTATTAAAAAGAACATATCCTAACTTACAAGAAAATTGTATTACTAGATTAATTTTTAAAACACAAAATTTTGCATTTTAGTAAACAATTTTCTTGTTTCTTTTCAAGCTCAAAATTCATATCTAGTGCTTGAAAACCATGAGAGCAGAGCTTCATTTTCTTCTTGCAATCCTTAGACGCTTTACACATTCTACAAACTCCCTGTGAAAATTCGGAAAATAACTTATCACGACCTAACAAAATACAATATATATCCAATCTAGTATTATAATGATGAAAAAGATTTAATAGTTTTAGATAATTACAGTAAAAAAAACTCTTACTTCCAAGGAACATCACCAACAGTCCTCCAATTGTCATCCCTGTCCTTATAAAACAAGCAGAATTCTGATCCTGCTTGAAACAGCCTTAACCCAGTTGCAGTTTGTCTTCCTGAAACAATTAAAAATGTAAATTTAATTGGATAGGCAATAAATTTTCTTGTTTCAATGTCGATTTTTATCTAAATATACCAAACATGTCTTCAAGTTGAAGTGCTAGGCTTGAGTAACCAACATGATCTAGTATGCAAATTTTCCTGCCAATAACTACTCCTTCCATGTTTACTTTCACATAAGCCCAATTCTCTTTGCTCTGCACTCCTTCTGCCTCTTCATCACATTCTTGTTGCACAGTTCCTTGATATCCAGAATTTGAATGTTTTATCGAAGAATTAGCCTGACCCCAACTCATCATTTCACCACATCCTTCTTCCCCTATGACTTATACATGCACAATAAACTTCAGTTAGACATTTCTGATGTATTTTTTACTTTTTTTTTTTTTTTTTTTACTCCAGTTAGACATTTCTGAATGTAGTTTTTACTTTTTTTTTTTTTTTTTTGGTTTTTTTTTTTTTTTTTTTTTGGTTTCAAATCAGTTTATGTCTACTAGTTGTCTGTTGCCATCAATTGCTTCTAAGTTTGTTCTAAACTCTCTGCTGTTATTTTCTTATATAGCTTAGCCTCAGCAGCTACTTTTTGTAACTTGTTTTTGTAACAGATAAGTTATATTTTTTGTAACTGCCAATAGTGGCTTTTGTAGTATAATAAACATCTCTGTCGCTTATGTTTTGGAAAATTTTGGAATTCGGAGTTTTTACTAGTTCAGTGTTGATTAGTGGTCCTCTTATCTATTTTAATGTTTTCTTAACATCATTTCCTGACACGCATCTCCGCCTTCAAAAGATGATTCTGCAAACTTCTAGTGAGAATTAGCAGTTGGATACAGTAAAAAGAAAAAAGAAACTAATAAATTAAAAGAAAGATCAAGATTCATACAATGTCCTGATGGATGATAAGCTTCAGGTTGCAAGGTTCTGAGACTAAGACCGAGATCAATAATACCATCATCTTCCTTTGCCTGATAGTAAACTGAGTGAATAGCAGAAGGATTCAGAAAAAAGCCCGATGCATTAGAATCCATTATAATATATAGCAGAAGGAAATAAATATTAGTGTTGGATGTTTAAGATGTATTGCTATGCACCAGGTAGAGGAACCTCTATATATAATATTAGATGTGTCATTGTTATAGCTATAACTGAATCTGCAAAAACAGAATTGGAAGTACTAAGTGGAAGCCAATTGGGCAAACATGGAAAGACAAGTAAAGTTATAACCCATTATCAATCATTGAGTGGTGCTTATCTTCTTCTGTTACTTCTGGTACTACCAACATGTAAATACACAAGGAAGCTACTAAAAAACAGAAAAACAAGGGATGGTCGAAGTGATTATAACAAAAGTTGGTTTGGATTCTGCAACCCGACATTACTACAAAGGTTCTTCTTTTCAGGTTGAAAATCCAAAAAGATGGTCAGGATGAAACTGCTTGGAACCAACACTAACAACAAGCAGGACATGTACAATTCTGCTTAAGTTTAATGACTAGCTATTATGAAAAATTAGTACTATTTCATCTGCTTTTTTTAAAGCAGAAAGTCGAGTCCAAAAAATCTATTATTCCTTCCTGTTTAACACTTTCGATCGACCAAAAAGTTCGTACTTAATTTGTTACCATTAGGCTAATTACCCAATTGCTTACTGGTCAATTATTTAACTTCTGATGCAGAAGATTAGGGCCTAAATCTTGAAAACTCCTTTCCCTTCAAAATTTTCTGATCTAGCTTAAAGAACGAAACTTCATTTCTCCCTATCTTGATCCTAAAGCATGAAGTTTTGGTTTGGGAACTCTATTTTCAGAGCTGTCAGGAGCATAACTCTTAAAAGGGGGACAATGATCTGATAACAAAAACCTAGCCCACTCTGCCTTGCCTTAAAGAGGATAGTGTTTCATGTATGAGACCTGCTCTATCACATGGGATTCTCTTGAAATGGATGAGAGTTGTTAGACCACAAGTTATCAGTTTCACATCCTATCACTGAAATTTTAAGCCTGAATTAATCTTATCCCCCTCGCTTGAACCCCACACCTTACCAACAAATTCTTTGGTAAAGTCAGTTTAAAATATATCTGATAATATTCTATTTTATGAATGGTGGAAGGGAGAAACTCTTTGATGATCAAATTAATGGCAAAAATAACCTCACCACCACCAGATAAAAAGGAAAAAAAAAAAAAAAAAAAGAAACACCAGATAAAAGAAAAAGGAAAAAAAAAAAAAAAAGAAGAAATCAAGCTAACTAACAGGTTGCTGTTTTCCTCAAAACAAAGAAATAGGTTACTCAAACTCATCAATGGTAGAGATGATCATGGATCGGGTTTAGATATCCCATTGGGCAACAAAAAATAATATCGATCAGGTCCGCCGTATATTAGATTAGGTCAGGTTAATAGACATAAAATTACTGAAAAGAGATTAATTTTATTTTTTTAAAAAAAGAGTAAGAAAAAAATTAATCAAATTGATTTCGGATTGGCTCAAATTGGCAGATACCCATGTCCGCTACATTTATAAATGGATCGGTTTATCCCGTAAATTCGGATCAGGTTAAGTCTGATGAAAATAAGCATGTCTAATCAATGGAGTAGTGTTGAACTGTTTACCAGAAATTATTTTGTTAACTCCATTAAAATTTAAAAGCTTAGTGCCATTTGTTTCATTTGGTTCATTATTTTTTGAAAAAAAAAAAAAAGAAAAAGAACTTAAAAGGAAAGAAAAATTCATCAACAAAATTCACCTACCATCGAAATATAAGCTCAAAAATCTTCAAATCAATGGCCACAAATTTCCAAGCCAAATGTCACCCACCAAAAGCAGTCATCACAGCAAATTAAGTAGACCCTCATTCACTTGTACATCTTTCCATCCAATTAAATCTTTGTTAGCTCATTTCACCTTCCAGTAAGTGGAAATGGACTTCTAGATGTACAGGAAACCATTACTACCCTCATTTTGGAGCTTCAAACTGGCCATCCCATGAATCAAACTTAAACCATTATTAAAAAAATATTTAAAAAACAAATTTAAAATTTAAAGTTTAAATCACAGATGCTGCAATTTAAACACACTGAAACAACAATTTTGATCAGAAGAAATTGGCATTAGTGAGAGATAAAACAAGTGCACTAATTACAGACATAAGGTGTAAGGATGTATTACAACACTAAGAAACTGAAAGAACACAATTTTGCAAGGGCAACCAGAATTCAGCATTGGATAAGGAATAATACATATTCTTGAACAGAACATTATGCAACCTAATTTGACCTTGAGTTGCGATCAAGTTGACAACATTTGATCTTGATCCAGATGCCGTTGAATGTAGAAATGAGAGAATTAATCTTCAATTTACTCTTTCCTTCCCCCTTGATTTTCATAATGAATTTTTTTGTAGATCGGTATTAAAGCATATGCAAACTTCATGAATTGCTTCAACAAGGCTGGACATAATTGCCATCCAAGACAGAGATTCATGAACTAGTAAAAATCACGCTTGCTGCTTCTATTAATTGTGTGTGAAAATGATGAAGTTCAACAGCCTAGATAATCACGTCAGTCATGTTGACTAAGAAATCGGATTATGCAAGGATAAATTTGCTCTACTGCCTGAAGAGGAAAACAGGAAAGGAACAAACAATTACACAAAGTATTGAAACAATTAGTTATGCTATGAATCTGGAAGTGCATACCAATCGTCCTCCCACCAAATCATAGTGTGCATAATGTGGACCTCCGGGCTCTCCAAACACTTTATAGGTAACCAAATGCTTGGGAATAAGCTTAGCAGTTTCTGGTGAATTCAAATCATTATGAGCAAGAAGCATTGTGCATTCAGATCAACTAAAGGTAAACACACACACAAGTTGTCTCCGTTTTAACATACCTTCTACAGCTTCAGGTGGGCAAATTAGATCTTGGTCTCCAGCTATGGCTAACACAGGCACATTGGTTTTGTGTAGATGATTCTTGTGGAAAAATTTACCACTCCTGTCACATAACCCACCATCTCGAAAAGCTGTTGTAAGCTGCAAGATAAGTTTGGCAGGTATAGTACCTGCCAGTAATAATCAGATCATATATTTGTGAAGAGTTAGTGAAATAAATAGGAATAAAAGGAAGCATTAAAATGCAAAAAAAGCAATTTCAGCTGAACAAGGAACTTTCCTTCATCACATGCAAACCCACCCCCAACCCACAGACCAGAAAAATGACTGGGAGATGCACAAAGACCAACTGCCAACGATATTGGTAGAGAGGCAGCAAAACAAATAAATTTTCAGCACATGAACATATTCTATTGATTCTTGAACAGCTGAATGCATGAAATCATAAAGCTAACCATTTTTCAACGACTGCTATATGGTCATTCTTAATTAGATTGCTGGAGAAGTGGAGATATTTATTAAATTTCTGCTTTTCCACCAATATAGGAGCTAACAAGTATTTCCCATTATACCAAACAAACAGGTCATTCTTGTTTAGCAAAGCCCTATTCTATTAATTCTGGCCTTGTTGTCAACTGATCAAGTCCAATGACTTCGGAAATGACCAGTAAGAGGCAATAAGCTTTTCAATTACAAAATGACAATAAAGAAAATGGGCAGAAAAGGCAAGGAAAGGAAAGAAAAGGAAAATACAATAAAAAGCCATCACACTTTTTATAAAAAACTTTGGAAAATGGAAAACGGTAATTGACAACAATATTTTATTGTTAATATTTTTAGCAAATTCCAGTCTAGGAAAGACCATACATATACCATGACTTTCCGTTTTTTATTCTTTTCTTTTAGGGGCATCTTTGGATCAGCAACAACTTATATATCTACAAAGGCAAAATCCCTTTATCATATAAGCACAAGGACACATCCCCTCACTCAGCCTGTATTCAAGAATAGGCCCCAAGAACTGGTCGAGTAAGGAGAAAACTCTCTTGCCAACCCCTGGTGGGTTGAACTTGTGGTTCTTCCTCACAAGTACAAAATTCTTAACTTATTATTTTACGACCAGTACCTTAAATTTCAACGTAACTCCTAAATACATTTATGTAAAAGATATTGACACATTATCATAGCTAACAAATCCTTTCAGCTAATTCTCTCATTTTGTTAGCTAATAGTTAAAACTAGAGTATGTCGATATGATTTCACACCGGCCATCTACACAGCAATCTACCTTCTCTATCCGGGATTCAGGTAAATTGTGTAAGGATACATTTAATGCATTATGGTAGGTTATTCATAGAATCATATCAGATTACGGCTAAAATGGCTTTTCTCTTAGCCCCTGAGCCATCTTTCCATTTTCAAATTTTCAATACACCATATCTTAGGAAACAATTCTTAGACCTCCAAGAATTGCATACCAAAGACTAAGTTGGTCTTATGTCTTTCCCAAGTCCATATACGTCTAGGATATGTAATTCAACTCATATAACAGAAATGCAGGGAAACAACCTAGATCTAAACTATATTACCTATATATAAAAAGACATTTTAGGTCAACTGGAACAAAGGTATCTATTCTTACAAAAGTTGTTCAAGACAAGCTTTTCTAACAACTCTGGATGCATCATGTCCTCTGCTGATATCAGATGATTAAGCCAAGACAACACATAAGGAGGACGAGATGAAAGAGGATATGCTGCTGACAATAATGCCCCCATAGGAACAACAGGCACATTAAGAGCCTGAGCGGGATCTGCCTGCACAATAATTGCCTCAGTATTACTTTCTCAATATAGCCATTACAATAAATATAGAGTTTAAGCACAGAAGTACAAGTCTTAACCACCTACAAGGGGCAAAAGCATTTTGAGTCTTGAATTTGACGATGTATAGTCAAGTGATGATGCCAAAGTAACAATAGCAGCCAAGCCAGAGTCTTTTCCTTCACAACCTAGGAAAAAGATAGAAAAAATGTGAATATTTGTGGCACATCTCTTCCTTTTTTTTTCCTTCAAAAAAAAAAAAAAATGAAAGCAAAAAAATAATATAAATGATAAGAACACAAAATAGCACTACAGAAACATTTCGTAATGATTAATGTAGGCTAGGCATATTTGTTTCCAGCAGAACAGTCCAGTTGCTTCAAATTGAGATTACAACTTGGAAATCTCATGTAATCTTCTTGCGTGAGGAAGAACTGGATTTATGGAACAGAGAAGAGCTACCCCAAGTTGGATGATGGCCTTGCCAAAGGGCATGCGAAACCTAATTTAGTACATTTTTTAAAGCTTTATTTTGGCCAGACACAGTCGAGATTCTTTGGGCTGTGCTGTGTCTGCAGGAATTTTGATTGGATATAAAGCTAGGATTTCAACAGCATTTACTTGCCTTTGCTATTTGTATAAGAGACCATTCTCCTCTTTTAAGATGGCATCACCATGCTCTTTGTGTTTGGAGGGTTTTCTTCTAGAAGAATAACATACCATGTTCTTCTGCGACTGAAGAGTCCTTCCACATCAATAGTTGCGCTATTATTGTCCTACTCACAGTTATGTTAACATTGTTTTAACAAAAATACATTACCCCAAGGGGCATCACAGTAGTTATTGAGGCTTGTGAAGTTCAAATTTTTAATCCCAGCGACTCTTCTTCAATACACAAGTATATAAGGAATCAAGGAGGAAATCTTATACCCTCACCAAAAATGCTCAGTCAAAATTTTAAGCTAAACAAAAATGTTAAGGCCAAAATCAAGCATCAACGATTCAACGCATACTAATCTTTAGAGGAGAAGAAAAACTTCAAACATTTCAGCAGCAAAAAGTTCAATGGATTGTACTATTAAAGTCCAAATGAATCTTGAGTCCAACATGCCGTGTGCCATACATGATATAGAATTAGTAACGCAGGGGAAGAATATAGGCAATTAACTCTCAACAATTAGGGCTAGAATAGGATGATTTTGGTTGGAACAAAATAACATATTGGTTTCAAAGAAACCCTTATCTCAACAATTTAGGTGCTAGAATAGAATGATTTTGGTTGGAACAAAAAATAACATATTTGGTTTTCAAAGAAACCCTTAGAATTAAAATTCTGAATTCATAGATAAAAAAAGAGAAATTCTAAAACTAATTGTTGTGTACTTTAATATTAGTTAGGACAAATCCCTAATGTCTAGTACTGAGAAGTATTCCCTATGTAGCTAAATCCTAAATAAAGAAGAAACTGAACATTATTTCCCGATTTAATTAACATCTTTAATTTGATCAAAAGAATCCTAAATAAGAAGGGAACTAAAAGAAAACTTCTTAATTAGTTTTGGATGCTTAACTTCTTAATTAGTCTTGAATGCTCCTGCTTCATTCTCCTTGGTTCTTCGACGAGAAAAGTTTAGAGGTTTCAGCAGGATCAATTCGTGTAAACTTCTCTTTAGAATACCACGTGCTTAAGGCTTTTGCAAGGGCAACCAACATCACAAGCCATTCAATCCATCATTTTTCCAAGCAAGCAAAGCTGGTTTAACAAAAAGAATTTTTCGTGTTTGCAATAGCCTTCTTGTAGCCTTCTTGCTTGAAGATGTATTTCAACCTCATGGACTACTTGCTTCAAACAATCTGCTTTTGGCAGTTTTATGCTATCAACATCCACAAGCAAATACTTTTGTGAAGAATAACAATATTCCTTTGTTTTTCCACCTTCAATGTTCCAATCTTTTTGTTATTCTATTTTAGGGGTAATAAGAACCTGCTGAATGACAGTATTTTCTCCTTGGGTAGCAACTAGGTCAATTTCTTGCTCTTCTTCATCATCATACTCATCATAGTCAATTTCTTGCTCTTCTTCATCATCATACTCATCATAGATTGGTTCCATAAGGTCCTTGTTGCTGCCTTCATTGTTTTGATCATCAAAATATATCTTTCTCCTTTTCACTCTCCTTAGGGTCATCATCATCCAACAATGTTGTTATTCCCCAATCTAAACAATCTGCTGTATGTAACTCTCCATGAAGATCAGCTACTTCAATCTTCATCCCCTCACCATTCAAATCAAGGGCGTTCGTTTAGTGACAACTCTTCCAATCCACTTCATGCCGCTCGATTTGCGGGTCCAGCTTCATGAAAAGGGTTTACGTCCTTGACTTCATCAATCTCAAGATCCTCTTGAACCTTGAGCTGTTTGTGGTTGCCTTCCAGAATCTCCATTCGGGCTTCCATAGGATCCTGACGCTGCAAGGCTTGTCCAGCTCGGGTCAAATCCTCAATCATTCGCAATATCTCAGCCATCTCTGTTTGTTAGGACTGATTACCTCTACTTCGATCTCTCCCTCTAGCAAACATGATTTATAACAGAACAAGAACATAAATCCTGCAGCAATTCAGGATCTTTTTGCGCTCTGATACTATAGGCAATTAACTCTCAACAATTAGGGCTAGAATAGGATGATTTTGGTTGGAACAAAATAACATATTGGTTTCAAAGAAACCCTTAGAATTAAAATTCTAAATTCAATAGAAAACGTCCTAACAAACTATCTGTTGCTGTCCTATTTTTATTTAGTAGACAAATCCCTATACTGAAAAGTATTCCTAATTAGCTAATACTCCTAGATTGAATAATATTCCTATTTAGCTAAATCCTAAATAAAGAAGGAAACTGAAAATTATTTCCCAAGTAATTAACATTCTTTAATTTAATTAAGAATCCTAAATAAAGAAAGAAGGAAACTTAAAAGAAAACTTCTTAATTAGTCTTGGATGCTCCTGCATCAATTACAAAAGCATGCATCCCATATCAATAATGAGTGCATGAGTTTGCAATACCATGGCAGAAGTTGTATGTGATAGTATCTTACCGCAACGTGACAGCATTGCATAAAGCAAGATACCTCCCATGGAGTGTCCAATTGCAAGAACTTTACCATCTTTTGGCTTGCTCTCCAATCTTATGTATTCCATCTACATAAAAAAATTTGAGGACACTATTAACATAAGAAGACTATGCATGAATTTTTTTTATCTATAACATAATTTTTTTCTTTTCTCTTAACTGCGGGGGGAGGGGGATTATAGTATAACAGAAGACTTCCTCTTTAAATTAGAAATATGGTTTCCAAGTCCGAATGTTATGTCAATGTAGATATTTGACAGGTTAAAAATAGGAACTAATTATTCATATTGCATATCAGAAGATAATGTCACCTCACCGCAGCAGGAACATCCTCTTCCAGGTAATTATCAAAATCCCAGTCATACTTCACGATCAAGTCAAGCTGTTTCTGGAAATCTTCTATGATTGCTGAAAGACGCTCTTGCAAGTCAAACAACTGCGGTGAAACAGATTTTTGGCCTTCGTCAAAAATTTTTACAAGTCTTTCACTCAGATCCCTGATTTGACCAGCAATAACTGAGTTTTCTCTTGCTTCCAGCAAGCTCAAAAGCTTTCCCCTTATCTCATTAAAGCGTCCATATAACTGAGAATCTTCTAGAAGTTTTGCTATCTGATCAAATAATTTAGCAGACATGATCCTTGATTGGCCTTCATTGAGGAATCCAGAGAGTCTCTCTGATAATCGCATAAAAGTTTCTGTCAATTCCGTTACCAGCTGTGATTCATCCCATGCTGTTGGTAAACCTGTTGGATCTTCCTTGACAATAGAAACTTCAGAATTAGGCAAGGTTCTGGGAGCATCAGTTGGCTGCTGGCCAGTAGACAAAGCTCCATTAGTTATAGTCTTTGCCACCGCTTCCATCTGTTCAGACACTACATGGGCAGACTGCTGAATCTCTTTGGGAGTTGTTGCCTGTATGCTCAATCCAGCACCTCGAACTTCAAGAATCCAAGTGTCAAATCCCTGACCAGACATGTGTCTTGCAAATGAAGACTACAGACCAAATGTATTAGTAAGACGAAGTTTCACATGGTAGAGCATGCACCACACTAATTAACAAAAAAATTTATTAGACAACATGATCAGTATAACAGCAGTCAGCACATAACAAACAAACATCAGAATCCAACTTTTCCAATACACTTTCCCGTGAGATTCCAGCAATCGAACGTCCCTGTAAAGGGGAAATTCAATCCAGTTTTCTAACAGTTCCGCAGTTAATGAAACTAGTCTGAATTTAAATGAATAGGACATGTGGAGAGAGCTGTACCCAACCAAGGAAATGTAATTTAATCAAATAGATGCTAACTGCAAATTGTGAGGAAAACCCAGACAACTGCTAAAGAATCAGTCAATCCGCAGTAAGATGTCAAGACTCAAAAGTAAAACAATGTTTTGCAATAGATACTGAGCCAAATATGCGTTAAAAATTTACGTTGCCATAAACAAAATCCAAAGTTGCCACAACCTTTCGCAAACCTGAGTGCAAATTTTGCACATTCCAGAAGTGAATAAATGCAAAAGCAAACAACTGTGAGCATTTGGACCAACTTCAACATTATGAGATACATATCATTGGCATTTAGAGGTTTGACAGGTATAAATGTGATGTCATTAGAAAAGGTTTAGGCAGTAGTCCCACAGTAGCGAATTTATTCAGCAGTAATTAGAGACCATAATTGCTTCGACAGAGTCAATTTTAGGACAAATACTGTTTCAGACAAAAGTACCAAGTATAACATTCATTCGGCTTAAAATGGTGAAAAAAAACAGCTTGTGAATAGACCGAAAAATTCAAAAGACTACAATTATTGCATAAATAAATCTAATTAATTAATTAAGAAAAAGGTAATTACCCCTGGCGAGAGATCGTAACCAATAGCATTAGTCCCGACTCCAGATAATAGCAACAGTGGGTGATTCCGAGTCGGCGCCTATAAATTATCGAAGTTTTTGTCTTTTTAAAAAAACGCAAAGATATAAAAGAGAAATGGAAATGGGAAATTTATTGCAGAGTGAGCTTGACCTGAGAAGAAGGATGATAGCGCCAAAGAGCGAGTCGCCAATCGGAATTAGGAACGGAGACATAGTGTAGCTCATCGGCGGTACAAACCGGAGGCTTATCCGAAACCTTCACAGCACGCTCAGTAGAACTTGAACCAGAGGAGAAAGCTCTGAGTCGAAAAGACGTGGTTTTAGAATAGGATAGCAATCCTAATCCAGGCGGAGAAAAAGGCCGGCGCGTCGCATAGGCGGAGAAGGAGGCACGTGTGGTGATTAAACTAGGATTAATGATGAGATTAGCGATGTGAAGAGCAGAACGAATATCTGATTGGATTGTGGAAGTTGAAGTTGCCATTTTCAGTTTGTCAAGATGAAAGTGATTTTCATGTCAAGGCCAAGTTTTCTGTTTGTGAACGCGAAAATTATTAACGTGTAACAATTGTATTTATGTTACGGTGTGGCGGTTTTTGGTAGACGTGGCGCGCTGTCCAAATAGCAAAGATGATATTTTGTAAATCCAAAAGTTTCCAAATCTTTTTTCTATATATATATATATATATATAATTATATATTAGTATATAATATAATAGATTTTTTTTTTTTTTTTTTTTTTTTACCATCTCCATATATGTTCCAGTGTAACAACGAGATTAAAGCTATACAATCCATGGTAAGTTATTAACAACAGTTTTTAAAGCCCATCGAAAGCCCTAATAGGACAATAAAACTCACTATAGTAAAAAAAAAAAAAATTACATTGTCTCCAATTGAACCCCCCCGTAAAAGAAAAACCCCGTATTGATTCTAGGGCATCTCCCCAGCAAAAAAAAAAAAAAAAAATTACATTGTCTCCAATTGAACCCGAGACCTATTGATTTCTAGGGCATCTCCCCAGCCTAAAATCATTTGCAAATCCTTTTTCTATATTCTGCTTTTTAAAAAAATATGTATATAATTCATTGATCATAAAATCAAACATTACATTACAAATACTCATATTCATGTAAATCGGATATAGAACAGAGATTAACAGAGTTGGCTGATTTTTCAATTAATAATCTTTTAACAAATTAAAAGAATTTTATATATAATTTTAATAAATAATTTTAATAATAATAAAAATAAAAATAAAAAGATAATATTAGATAAAAAATTCCAATAGTCGAATTGTTTCGGAATAATCTTCAATAGCTCTGCTTCGTACAAGGACTCGTTATCCCTCAAAATCAGTTGTGGTATGGTACGTTATGTAGTACATACTGAGAGTGTATTGTCATTTTCAATCATTAATAATATATAAATTGATAAATAAAAAATAAAATTTGATTAATAACTATTGATTATTAAAAAAATTTGATCTAATTATATATTTTAATAACTTCAGAAAATAAAATCTCTTAATTATTAAGTTTTAAACGTTAGTTAGAATCTCCACAATATGTTCCCTTGAAAAAAAAAAATTTGATAGATTAATTTTTATATTGTATATATATATATATTTAAATAAGTAATTAAATTTCTAAATTTAGCTAGGCCATTAAATATTACTAGTAGTTTTTGGACTAGGCTTTGCTTTAAGCCCATCAGCATTGCAATTTTATTTCCCTTTCTCGAACGACAGTAAAGAGAGGAGCCTCCTTGAGCTCGATTTCTGCTTCTAAGTAACTGTCACCTGAACTCTTTCTCCTTTCACTCTCTCCGCCAAAATCTCAATCATGTCTTCAAATGATAACGGTGAAGTTGAAGTGCAGAGTGTGTTTATAGGAGCAGGTTGCAACAGAATAGTGAATAACGTTTCGTGGGGTGCCTCTGGTTTGGTCTCCTTCGGTGCCCAAAACGCCGTCGCTATTTTCTGTCCTAAGGTCTCCATCTCGCCCGCTTTCTTTCACTTTCCAAGCTTATTATATGTTATTCTGTACTAATTTCTTTCGTATTGTTTCAAATTTTTTTGAGTAGACGGCTCAGGTTTTGACTACACTTCCAGGTCACAAGGCCTCTGTTAACTGCACCCATTGGATTCCAAGCAATAAGTTTGCTTTTAAAGGTATCCCTCTATTTTCTATATGTGAATGTGGTATTCAATTGTTAAGTTTTTGTTTTACTTGTTCAATTGTGAGACGTTTTTGAAAAATGTTATGGTTTCTAATTTGAATTAGTTTACTAATGATTATTTGATTCTTGTTCTAGTTTGGTTGCTAAGGATTGCCAAGAAGTGGGAAAATTTGTTTGTAAAATTTATTGCTTTTAACTATCTAGCTTTGCTAACTTGCAAAATTACAGTTCCTTTTCCCCTGCTCTTCCTTCCTCTTCAATCTTAGTTACTTTTCCTTAGTCTTGTGAGGTGCCAAATATGTAAAATGCTTTAGAGGGGAAAAAAAAAATCACAATGTTGCATTCTTTTTTCGTTCGAGTAGATTTTTCTTCTTAACGAGCTCTATTATTTGTCAATAGCAAAACATTTAGAGCAGCATTATCTGCTTTCCGGAGATGCTGATGGGGTCATTATTCTATGGGAATTCTCTCTTGCTGACAAGAAGGTATTTGCTTTTAACTTAAATTTGAATATTGAATGAGAATGTTTTGATAATCTATCAACGTGATGATTCCAGCATCTTTATGTTCCACAATATGTTGTTAATTTTCTCGTCTGCATGACCTCCACATTAACTAACATCTTGGACTCATGACTGTCACAGCCATGACCTTTGTTGGTTGGTAACACTTAAGGACTTTGTATTTCTGCATGTTGAAGACACCAGAGAAAGAAATGGGTGGTTGTTGTTCTATTGAAGACTTTATCTATGGTGGTTTCACTCTTCATCTTCTCTTTGCTTTTGTTTACAGTGGAGGCAAGTGCTACAATTACCGCAATCACACAAGAAGGGTGTTACATGCATCAATGGAATTATGGTTTCGCAAACTGAAGTAATTTTTGCATCTAGTTCTTCTGATCGTACAGTTTATATATGGGAACTTATGCTCCCTTCTCCTGGAGGTGAGTTATAAGTAGTGACTGTTTTCGTGTCACTTTCAGCACTGCTGTAACTTAAATATGGGGATAACCACTTGTTCTTGTCAATGGCCTAAAGTATGATCAGAAGTTTTTTACCAGTGGATTTTCATTTGTTTTTTCCGAAGACATTTTCTTTTTTTTTATTTAATTTTGACTTGGTTTTCAGAATTTTGGTAGTTGAGTCTGCTGAACTTCTCTTATTATTATTATTATTATTATTATTATTATTGCTGTGTACCTGTTTGCTTTCTGTTGATATTTTTTACATGGAGACAAAAGGTTCATGTAGCAGACCCTAGTTAGTAGTTCTTGCCTATTTTATGCTTTGTTCTATTTATTACTATTCAAATGATTTTAGAATTCCGCTTCAAAAATTCTTTTACAAAAAGTACTTCAAAATCTTCTCTGACTTTGCTTTGCATTGATATTAATTTAGGCAGAGTGGATATTGAAACAAAGGATTCATATAGCTGACTCCAACTAGTTTGGGTCCAAGGCTTAGTTGTTGACTTGTTGTTGTGTAGCAGTTTGCAAAATGACGGTCTTGTGCTAATAGGATTTCCACAGATGAGACATACATATTCTTCTAATGAAATCACGCTACTATACAAAGTTGAATAAGCCATCTGAAATTGAATTGATACTCGGTACTTATTTGATCCCAGATCTTGGATTTCAATAAATGAGGTGGCAGATTCAGATTTGATACCAATCCAGATGTTTCTCTTGCCCTTGAAAAATAGAAAATCTATCACAAGATTTTTATGTGATGATCGAGGCATGCCGCTACCAAATTTCACCTGGCCTCATGTAGTTCTTTTTCTTTTTTAATTTCATTAATTGGGATAATGTTGCCTTTTTAGGAATATGAAATAAAAATTTGTTTTCTCTTATATTTCAGTAAAGCTTTTCTTGAACATAGGAATTATTGCAATGGAAAATGCAACCAAGCTGTAGGCTTTGTCAACTTCATAGTGGTGCGTGGAATCACAAACACGTATTAGTATGAACTGTCACTTGGCAGTACTATGCTTCTATATTTTATATTTGATTGGATTGTGTAAAAAGATTATGTATAGGCAAAATGTATCCTATCAATTTGTCAGAGTTAAACAAATTGTTTTTGAAGATAATCAAACTCTATCTGTTTTAGGCGAATGTAAATTGTCATGTCTAGAGACCCTCTTTGTTGGTTCAAAGCCTATGGTGGCTCTATCATTAGCAGAATTACCAGGAAATTCCGAGCATATAGTCCTTGCCATCGGGGGCCTAGATAGCAAGGTTCACCTCTATTGTGGGGAGAGGAAAGGAAAGGTATCTTGACTTGAATTTCTCTACCAATTTATATTCCTACTTTTTTTTTTCTTTGCAGCTGATAAATATAATGCAATTGCTTATGCTTGTTATATCCAGTTTATTCATGCTTGCGAGCTGAAAGCACATACTGATTGGATCCGGAGTTTAGACTTCTCATTACCTATAAATATGGAAGGTGAAGCAAATAGCATTCTGCTGGTAAGTGCTTCTCAAGACAAGGGCATACGCATATGGAAGATGGCTTTACAAGGTTCATTAACCAATAATGAGGGCGCATACAGGAAGGAGGTGATAAGCCTGGCATCTTATATCAAAGGTCCTGTACTTGTAGCTGGCTCTTCCTCTTATCAGATATCATTAGAATCTCTTCTAATTGGACATGAGGATTGGGTATACTCGGTAGAGTGGCAACCCCCTTCATCATCTACTGAAGGGACTACCTACCATCAACCTCAAAGCATTTTATCAGCTTCAATGGACAAAACGATGATGATCTGGCAACCTGAAAGGAAAACTGGTATCTGGATGAATGTGGTCACTGTTGGGGAGTTGAGTCATTCTGCTCTAGGGTTTTATGGTGGTCACTGGAGCTCAGACGGAAAATCAATTTTAGCACATGGATATGGCGGAGCTTTCCATATGTGGAGAAATATTGGAGTCAGCATGGACAATTGGCAACCACAAAAGGTCCCATCTGGGCACTTCGCTGCAGTGACAGACATTACTTGGGCGAGATCTGGTGAATACATATTATCAGTTAGTCATGACCAGGTGATGTGCTTATCATGATATCATGTATTTATTTGAATGTGATTGTCATGTCAGAAATATCTGGTTCTATGCTTATGGTTCTGTGTTGTTAGAGAATGAACGTTTCTGTATGGTGAACCATTTGATTTTCTATATATGATGCCCTAGTCTTTTTCTCTTTACACTATGACAATTGTCCTTGTAGTTTTCTACGTATGATTATAAGTGGGTTAAACATCTGTTAACTTTACAAATTGAAAACTTAATCAGATGACATTTGCTAAACCATTTGATAAACATGAACGTAATTCTGACTTTAATTGTTAATGCTGGACTCACAGGTAAGGTGGTTTACAATTAATTTAACATCACAGGAGTTGTAAGTGATTATACTTAAGGTTTGTGCTATGTTATAGAAGTAAAATATGTCTATGATAGGAATACTGCGATTTAACATTCTGAAGTTAGAGTGTACTGGTGCATTTCATATTTTCTAGGGTTTTCCCTGTGTGGTTATACTCAAATGACTAAACAGACTTCTCATAGGAACATTAATAAACCTCCTCCATCAGTTGTCAAGCACTCAGCTTTCTGCATTCTATTAAGCAAATGAAATTCCATAGTTTTAAGGCACTTATAATTGTTGGAACTGGAAGAAAAAGTCAACAAAATATATGCAGTGAAAAAAAAAAAAAAAAAAAAAAAAGAAGAAAAGAGTCAACAAAATATATGCATGAAAAAAAAAAAAAAAAAAAAACAAAAAAAAAAAAAAAAAAAAAAAACAATCCCCTGCTCAACAGTCTTGATAGAAATTGAAAGTGGTTTAACCGGACTTTTTTAGGTCTATTTTGATTTGAAGGCTTAAGAAGCTATTTATGATCGCTGTACCAAAATAAAGCAATTTGATTTGGAACAGCATGCTTCTGTGTTATATGTGAATCCTAAGATATGCATTACTGATGTCTCAATTGTTCATTCCAGACAACTCGTATTTTTTCCCCATGGCAAAATGAAGCTTCTCCCTCAAATAGGGAGTATTGGCATGAAATTGCTCGCCCTCAAATTCATGGTCATGATATTAACTGTGTGTCCATGATTAAAGGAAAGGGGAACCATCGTTTTATCAGTGGAGCTGATGAGAAAGTTGCCAGAGTTTTTGAAGCTCCCTTGTCTTTCTTGAAGACATTGAATCATGCCACTTCTCAAACCTCTAGTTTTCTTGAAGACCTCCAATTAGATGTTCAGATTTTGGGTGCAAATATGTCTGCTCTTGGTCTGTCACAGAAACCTATATATGTACACTGTAAGTCTATCTAGCAAAATCTTTTTTTGTCTTTTCACTAAAATTTTTGTATATAACTATTCAGAAGTTACTAAGATATGTACTTTTATGAATTTTCCACCCATATCATTCACTCGCCCTGCAAATATGTGGGCGTGGGTCATGGCAAAATAAACCACATTTAAATATCTTAGGGTAAATTGGGTATGGATGCCGATAAGCCCGTTGACAAAAAGAGTATTACAAACTAAGCAGCCCTCATTCAGTTCTTCCCAACTTGCTGCTTTAGTCAAGTGCTCCATCAAATTTCCCAGTTCTGGTTCTGGCAGGGGGAACATACCCATAAATGCTCACATCATTATGCTGATCATGAAAGACTCCCTCAACTTCAGTGATTATCTTTGTCAAATGTGCTCTTAGTTTGTGCTTCTGTCGCTTTGTTCTCTATTCAATTAGAGACTATTTTTATTAGTTCTGTAGAGAAAAACTTCGAGTGGAGTGAATTCTTATGATTTTATGTTCAAATCATTTAGACATCAACCTAGCATCACCTTTGGATATCCTGAATCATTTATGCCCTTATATATTACAAAAGCCTTTCTTTTCTTTTCTTTTATTGACCCCCTTTTCCTCCTATCTAGTGAAGAGGAGCAGAATTTCACTGTCATTTCTAATACTGATATCTTAATGCATAATGCTATCTGTGCCTAGAGCTTTTCTTTTACTTAATAATTATTGTATTGAGTTTATGTTGTCTTGTTTATTTGACTGAACCAGTGCCTATTATCATCATGTCATCTTTTTTTCCCCAATTTTATTGACTTGCCTTTTATTTAAACAAATAAGATGATTGGTTTGACTTTGCAAAATAGTCCATTTTCTATCAAGATGCAGATATTCTTAGATGAGCAGAATAATGATAGACTATAAAAAAAGTTTTAACTAAAAAATTATGGGATTGTGTCATGGGTTGGATGTATGTCTAGTTCTGGATTGTGGCCCAATTAAGCCATGGATGTTATTAACTGTGTAAATAGGTGGGTTGACTCGGTCGAGGTAGACTTTGGTTAGTTAAATAGTACATGGGTATTTTTAGCCGCACCCAGTTTAATGCAACATGTATACACCCGTTTGCCACATCTTGATTCAGATATGATTTGCTTCTGCTAGATGAGTTGAATTTGTCAAATGTCTGATGTTTTTGGTTTATGTTGGCTTATTAGCTATTATAAGGGATCCAGTGGACCTTTTATACAATTTGGTGCTTGCTGTATATTTGATTCCATGAGCACCAGAGTTTAATCTAACAGTTTTGTCTTAGGAATAAGTTCAAATGGCGAAAATTTTCCTTTCACTGATAGCTGATGATATTATACTTTGATAAGGCATTATTTAAGTGCAAAAAAGGTTCATTGTGGTTATTAAAAGAAACCCGAAATGGAGCAAGCCTTTTTTTTTTTTTTTCCAATTTTTATGATAAGAAATTGATATGGAATTTGATATTGCACAAGTTGTTGGAAGTATTTTTAGGTTGGTGAATGTGGACCTCTTCTTGAAATCAAGTTCTTTAATCTTATACCATAATTCAAATTGCATGCTTCGAAGGACCTGTTTGGAGTCGGACATTACGACTTTCCAGAGAATGGATGCTGAATCATGCCTTCTTGTCTTGTCTTTGGATTTTAAACCATAACTTTCACAAGATTTTTGACTGCTACTAGTTGTTCCCCTTGGATCCTTACATACCACCATGTGCATGTGCCAAAGAAAACTGTAACTTTACTTGTGAACATGGCTGCTAGATGATTCAGCCCCAGCATCAGCGCCTTGGAGACTTCCATTTTGATTAGCATTAACCTTGTGACATGCTTGGTTATTGCTTTTGAGTTTTGGGTCCAATATTTCTTTATAATTAAGAATCGAAAATTGTTTGATAATTTTTCCTGGTTTGGGATCTGTATGGTATATTCAGTGTGCATTGTCTTGTACATATGAAGCCAATGTCACTTACCCTTTTGGAGGAGAATTTGTTGATCTGTCTATTCCATATTGCTGCGGATATTATCCTACTCTTAAGCTACATAAATATGTGCATCATTATATGGCCAAGTAACCAACAGAACAAGAAAGCAGTTCACTTTTTCTTTTTTAATTTTTTATCTTGACCTTTTATCTTCTTAAAGAACTCCTTCAGTAATTTCCTTTCGTCTGAAAAGAGCAAGATAGTAAAGCAACTAGCTATGCAGCAAGTGTAAAAATTAGAAAGGATTATATGGGTGATTTTCTTTTGCAGCTGTGCATGAGACTCCAGATAGAAATGGAAATGATGGTCTTGATACCCTTGAAAGCATTCCTGATGCAGTTCCAGTTGTGTTGACGGAACCTCCCATTGAAGATGAACTGGCATACAACACTTTATGGCCAGAATCTCACAAACTTTACGGTCATGGAAATGAGTTGTTTTCTTTATGCTGTGACCACGAGGGAAAGCTTGTTGCTTCATCATGCAAGGTATAGTCATCTTCCAATGCCATATTGCTAAGTTTATTTAAATGTCCGCATGAGCTTGTCAATGATGCCCTTGGACCTAAATTTGCCAGAAGTTATGCGTCGTCTTTAGTTCAACCACTGTCCTAGTCAGTTCTTTTCTTGTTTAGGCATGTGGACACAAAGAATGCTTCTATCTGTTTTTTCCTCCAATATTTGTCATATTTTGGTTTGAGTCAGCTGCAATGAATTTTTTTATTTGGACAGATGTTAAAATTGCATCAGTTATAGACTATGCAGCTTATAGGATGTTTGTAAGTTGTTTTCAATTAGTAATGTTTCTGACATGAAACGTATTTGGGGAGTGAATAAGGAATGATTTATCAGAGACTTTGAATTAAATTTTAGAGTTGTCTACATGACTGCAACAAATTAACCAGTTAGGATGTTTTTAACATTGATTTGCAAAGTAATGTTTATTGCATCTCCCTTTGGCTGATTTTTTGGGTCATCCAGGAGAAAGTAAAATTTTCACAATCAGGGCTGGGGACTAACTGAACTTTTGGAAACTCATAAAAATCACAGAGGTTTGGAGATCTATGCTTTCCCTTTATGAAATGAAATGATTTTGAAACATAATATATTATCTTGTCTATATAAATTCATACAAGCTATGGCCTATGAGTAGCTGCCCCTATTTGGAACACCATGAATGACTGTTTAAAAATACTAAATAACATTACCTTGCTTCAGTGGCTTGCCTCTTATTGTATGGACTACATCTTGAAAGTTGCTTTTTGATATTTACTGATTTGCAAATCAGAAACACAATTAAGAATAATCATATGGTTTCAGAAAAGAGATGGAGAGTTTTCCAGACAGCCCTATTGATTTGTTTCTAATTCTTTTATCTCTAGCACCCAATATGTGCTGCAGTCAGGAGAAATTGGAAGGTGTAATTGTTGCTCATTAATGTATGTCTTGCAGGCCCAGTCAGCAACAGTAGCAGAAATATGGCTATGGCAAGTGGGTTCATGGAAGGCGGTTGGTCGCTTGCAGTCTCATAACTTAACAGTGACACAGATGGAATTCTCTCATGATGACAGTATGCTTCTGGCTGTCTCAAGAGATCGTCAATTTTCCATTTTCACAAAAAGAACAGGTATTCCTTAATGTGCACTTTCAGCTGCTTCTTGATGCTGTTCCTATCTAATCATGAAGTTAATCATATGTAGCTTATTGAATCTTCTTGATGAAAATTAAAAACAAAATATAATGCTAAATAAGAAAAGCATTTCTTAGGAATGTAATTTGGCTGTTTATCCTCCACTCAGTGAATTGATTGTACAATTGATGTTTTCCTTTCTGTGGTCCTTGGAATTGGATCTGTCAGATACTGATGGGTTTCGGGAAAAAATAGGGTTTTATCTTATTCGTACTGAGAACTTGATATATGGATATTGGAATTCATCTTCTGTCATTAACAAAGAGAATGCTAATTTGCTTTTTTCTACTGAAGAATAGGGTGAAAGCATAAAATCTAGCAGGTAGAGAAATATAGACACCACCACTAATTTCTTTTCTGTTATTCGATGCTTGTAGTTATACCAACTTGTCTTATGGTTCTCCAAACAATTGATATCTAGTTTTTTGAAGTTTTCATTTGAAAAGATGCAATCTTAATTTATCTATACATTCCATTTCCCGATTCTGCAATTTATGAAAACCGACTTTCTAGCAAGTAACTGGTGGACAAGTTTTTGATTTGTATAGATGATGCTTGGTTTTGTCTCACTATCAATCAGGCCATGAATGATGAAACTTAATGGTAGATCATTGATATCCCTAATTTTCTTCTTTTGATATTTATTTAGGCAGCGATGTGATTGGCTATCAGCTTCTAGCAAGACAAGAGGCACACAAAAGAATTATATGGTCATGTTCTTGGAATCCATTTGGTCATGAATTTGCAACTGGCTCTAGGGACAAGACAGTGAAGATCTGGCAAGTAGAAAAAGAATCATCATCAGTTAAACTGATGATGACTCTACCACAATTCAATAGCAGTGTCACCGCCCTTTCCTGGGTTGGCATTGATCGTCAAACAAATCACGGGCTTCTAGCAGTTGGAATGGAGAATGGACTCATTGAACTATGGAGTCTTGCTCTCAGACAATCCAAAGATGCAACACCAGCTACTCTTAAGGTACGGCTTGATCCCTCCATGTGCCACGTTTCTTCAGTAAACCGAATGTCATGGAGAAACAACGAAAAGAGCCAAGATTGCAATAGATTGCAACTCGCTACTTGTGGAATCGATCATTGTGTGAGAGTGTTCGACGTTATTATTAATTAATTGCACTTTTACCTGTAGGCAATTTTGTAATGCATTTATCAAATTAGTCATTCTAAGCATAGATAAGATATTTTATATGAAAGTTGATCAATGACCATGAACTTGCGTTTGGTAAAAGACCCAGCAGCTGTTTTGAGACTGTCTCTGTAGTCCAAATGTTAGGCAGGCTGCTATTGTGCAATGAGATTCTAAGAGTCCTAATCTTATGTACTGCCTAATGAAAGGCAACTAATCTTAGATCAGATGTGCTTATCGTGAAGCTTCAATTATTCTGTTTTTTAATGTGTGAAATTATTAATCAAAGAAAAACGCTAAGTATTTCATTTGAGAATGACATTGGCATTGTAGGCGCAGGCATGGCTTTTTTTGTTCCCTCGTGGATGCACGCCCGGATATCACCTCGTCAAGTTGTGAAAGTTGAATGTACAGATTGTCAAATCTAAAAGCATCAGACTACTTTTTTATTTTTTTTAATAACTAATTTTAGAAAATTGTCTAAGGTTGGAAAAACATGTAAAACCCCACTTGAAAGCTAATTATATTAATAAATATTTGACATGATTTTCCATTTTAGGGTACAGTCGATTGCTAGCTGTCAGTTGTTTTATTAATGTTTTGTCGGTCGTTGTGCTAATAATTGTTAGATGCTAAATATTTCATTTATTAAACTCTAAGTACTAAGATAAACGTAGAATATTAGTATAAATATTATGTCGTCGTACACAATTAAAGGTGAATTCTATTATTTATAGCGTTTAAAGTAGAGCTTGTCAAATGTTTATATCTACTTTTATTTCTCTTTAAGTAAGAATTAATTTTAGAAATTATCTTAAGGTTTGAAAAATATGCAATCCCAACTTGAAAGCTAATTTTATATTTTGATATGGGTATCCATATCAATGGCGATGAGAATCATATGACATGGATGCAACAAAATGGACCATAATTTTCAACTCCTAAATGAGATTGGGTTGTTTTTACACTGAAATTTTGGGAAGAAATTATAGACTAAGACAAAGCAAGATCCTATAGCAAACAAAGGCAGGAGGCAACAGCTTTTAGAAAATAGAGGGTAACGACAAACAAAAGTTTGCTAAAACACGTGTGTTTATTTGGCATATGTTACCCTCTCGTCTCCTTTACCACTACCACTATAATTTCCCATCTTGAAAACATAAACAAAACCTTGGACGTTTAGTACGTGGTTTAACTGCTAACTTAATCTCTGCCATAATAAAACTAAACACACAGAATCTATTTGCAGATCTAACACCACATACTCACTTACTATACACATCCTTAATGTCAATATTCTTGCCATAAGTATAGCTAGGTTCAGTTCTTTTTTATTTCCTTCTCGGATTTTTAGGTGCATATTCTCATGAGCTTCTTCTTTTTTTTTTTTTTTTTTTTTTTTTTAATTTTTTTTTCCCTTTCTCGGATTTTTAGGTTGCATATTCTCATGAGCTTCTTCTTTTTTTTTTTTTTTTTGATTGAACTTTTTATCTTGCAGAGGTCATTTGTTGGTTTTTAAAACTTGACCACTTCTTATGTGTACATTTAACTTTTAATGTTTATATTTTTTTTTTTTTTTTTTGATTGAACTTTTTATCTTGCAGAGGTCATTTGTTGGTTTTAAAACTTGAACCACTTCTTATGGGTACATTAACTTTAATGTTTATATCATGAGTTCTAGGGGGAAAAAAGGATATTGTTTGAGTAGCGTATTTATTGGGACAACTCTTTTTTTGAAGCACAGTAGAAAGAGGAAATCCGACGATCGACATGATTGAAATAATGTAGGATTTTGATGAAGAGGGTGTCATTTTCAAAGAAAAAAATAAATGGGTATGATTTCATACCATGAATTGAGTCCTCTTCTTTAGGTTGGGACATGTTATTGCATTTGGTCTTTCCAGCAATCCCTACTTGCATGTGTCTTTACGCATAAATTTCGTCTCCTACGTAAGAATCCAGGGGAAAGCTTAGCTTTTGACACGCAAATGTTCTCTTTCTTTTGTTGCTTCCTAAAAATAACTTTTTATCTCTCAAAATTATTTTTCAAATGACTTATTTTCCGCTATTTAGTTAAAATATTAAAAATTAGTTAAAAAATATTAAAACTTTTAACTCATAAGATCATAAAAATATAAAAAATAATAAAAATTTCATATTTTAAAAATTTTATTGTTAAATATGAGAAAAAGTGCAAAAATATAATAAATTATGAAAATTGTCGTTGATCAGTGGTGGTAGTCGATGCTAGCAAATGATCGGGGTGAATAGTGACTCTTAATAGTGACTATTAATGATTACTAAATTAAAAAAATATATAAATTTAGAAGATTATAATAAATTTATCAATGTCGGAAAATATTTTTCTCTTAAAAATAGAAACGACGGAAAACTTTAAATTATTTTACAGAAACAAATGAAGTATTATATTGTGTCAAATAGGAGAGATCGAAGAGATTCTAATCAAATCAAAATTTTAGTTACTAGGGAAATTTATGAATTTCAGTCAAGTGAAACTGAAATCAGTATCTATCAAAGCCAATGCAACTGTTTATCAATCTGAAATTGCAGTTTATTTAAGAACAAATTGAGATCAATTTTAAACGGTTAAACCAAAGGTTGTTATACTGTGTCACATAGGAGACCATACCTAGAACGAGAATATCAAAATCCAAAATCTCATGAACCAAACATCTGAAACAAAGATGTGATTGAAAGCTCTTAATTACCACTAATATAAACATTTATTCAGTAACTGATATATGAACTGCACAGCACACAAATATATGAAGTTTTAGCTTTTACAGTATAAAAATCCCAGACTGCTTTCATTTCCTATGACAGTAAAACAATATGACATACAAGAAAAAAGAGTAAAGAAGAGCAAAGTTCCTTATTATCTACCCACAAATACATAGCCACAAACCAATACCAATAGAAAAGACAGTTACTAAACAGAAAAATGTAAAGATTAAAACCACACCCCTTCAAAATTGTTTCTTCTCCTTTACTAATGAACTTATATTGGCTGCGAAAGTTCTAATCTGCTGCTTCATATTATCAGTTGGGAGCTGACTTAGAATTTTCTGGTAACATTGCAGTCATAGTTTGGTAATGAGAAGGCATTGTGGGTGCAAGAGGTTGAGTATAATATATCTGAGCATGAGCAGGATCGGCAAACTCATAAGTATAATTAGCAGGGCCAGCAGAACTAGGAGCAACTGATTGTGATGGATGATGAACTTGAGAATAACCTACATATTGTTGCTGATGCTGGCTAGAAGGAACCTGAACTAATTGCGGTGTGCCAGTATTTGTTGTTCTGTACATGCCTGCAGTCGCCATTTCAGGTTTAGCCATAGGAGCATTTCTCATTGGATTATAGGCTGCTGGATTGGGAGGTGTTTGGGGACGGGTAGGAGCAGTAGGTGTGGGTTCACTAATACTAGATTGCTGGACAGGCATATTATAAGCCTGAGGTTGCCTTGCCTGGACATAATACACTGGATATTGCTGATCAAGTTGGTGATGATGTTGGTGATGGTGTTGTTGCTGGGGTGGTGGGTATACAGGGTAATATGCAGAAATTGGCACTGCCCCTGTGTGTTGAATGTAATGAGCACCAGCGTGTATGAATTGTTGTGGTTGCTGTTGCTGTTGTTGCTGCTGTTGTTCGAATTGGGGCTGCAATACATACCCAGAATCCTGAACCTGTTGTGGAACCTGAATCCGAGGATTTGGATTTGGATTTGGATTTGGATCAGAAACATTGATCTTTGAATCAACAGGGTTAGCAGAAACCCTGCTGATTCCAGATGGGATTTGCATAGCCTGATCTTGATAAATCATGGGTTTTTGACGATTTATAGCATTGCTAAGGCTACTGTCGCTGAGACATTAAAACAAACACCAAGAACGTAATTCAAATTCTGATAATTTATCTACAATTAAACCAGTAACCGCAACTATAATATTCAATATAACATATGTCAAATGCAAAAACTGTAATGTAAGAGAATGATTGATACATAAGTACCTTGAAACTGAATCTGGAGAAGCCAAATCAACGGCGCCGCCGCTACTACCACCCCCACTGGACTTCTGTTGTGTCTGAGGAACCAGTGTATGCGGCTGTGTTTGAGGTGGCCGTGGCTTTCTATAACCAACTGGAACGCCATGGTCCGATCTCTCATCATCAGAGAAAACCCGATTCTGGTAATCACCAACTACTACCGGAGGGCCCACCGGCACACCCGATATAGCAATAGAAATTGGCATCGGAGGCGGCGATGACATAACCACAAAACCCTCATCTTGCTTTTGCCCAACAACACCACTACCCCCACCACCAACATTAATTTGTGCAAACTGTTCCTCGATACCCACCACTTTCTGATCCTGCATAACCCCTCTAACCCCACCACCATCCTCCACATGAACTCTTATGGGAGGCAAATTCGCAAGTGAAGGTGAAGAAGAAGTAGACCCAAAAGAAGACGACGTCTCCAACATCGGAGAATCCGGTACGGAATGGACATCTTGACCTTGCTTGGCATTTTTCTGCGACCCCTCCACATCTCTACCGCCACCACCAACTAAATCGAGATTATTATTCCCATTTAGACCATCATCATCCAGACCCAACAAGCAATTGACCGAAGCAGAATCAGAAAACCCTCTATTCAACAAACCAGTAGCTCCATTCAACGCATTTAAGAACCAGTCTTCAGATTTAGCACTGCTTTCCAGAATCGGTCCAATTGACTGTGAAGAATCCGGCTTCAACGGAAACAGAAACAAACGCAGTCGCGAGGGTTTCGCAGCATTAGCAGCGTTACTATTAGTACGGTCATACTCATCGATCATATTATCTAAATCCTCATCAGTAGTGACAGAAATAAGAGAATCCAAGTCTTCGCTCGGAAGCTGATACTTGAGAGTAAAAGGGCGGCCATTAAGCAGAGTATTTGAAAGACGTGTTGAGAGAGAAGAGAGAGTCGTGTGGCGGTCAACAACGACAATACGAGTATCGCCGCCGACATAGCACAAGGACTTGTCATGCGGGCGAGGAACGATATGGCCACCATAGGAGCACATAAGGCGGAGCTTGGAGGACAGAGGAGGCGGGTCATCCAAGTAAGAATCAGTGGTGCGAGAGCGAGGAGAGGAATCGATGGAGTCTGGGTAGGTGGCGGGTGTGGAGTTGGTGGGGGTGAGGTGAGAGGGTAAGGTGGTGGTCGCAGCGGCGGCGGTGGCTGTGGCGGTGGTGGTTGCAGCAGCTGAGAGAGATGGAGCCGGTGGAGGTTGAGGAGGTGGTGGTGGGTCCATCAGAGGTGAGTTGGGCAAATGAGGGATTTGAGAGAGAGAGAGAGAGAGAGAGGGGAAAAGAGGGAGAAAAGAGGGGAATGGCGTAATGGAAGTTGATGCTCTTATAGCTATTCCACACCTGGTCTCTGCTCTCTACTCTCCAGCTGTTCTTTTTTATTATTTTTTAAATTTTTTATTTTTATAATATTTGAATTTAACTTATACTACTAATTGTTTAATCAAAGAGTTAATTTTAAAAAATTATTGCTTTTATGAATTTATTGACACAAACTGAAATTTTATTTTTTACATTAAAATAGTAATTTTTTTTTTAATAACTTTGAGTCTGATTTCAAGGTTTGAATTCAAAATATTTTAATACTGTGAAATAGTTTAAATATTCATTATTCATATTCTAACAATTATCTATCTACATATTGATGTTTAGAATATTTACTTGTAAAAGAGTTTAATTCAAATATTGTTTCAAGTGTAAAATATGCGTGCAAATTAAAAAAATTAAAAATTTTAATTAATTTTTTAATATTTTAGATTATGAGACTAATATTTAAATATTACTCCTTTTAAAAAAATAATGTTTAAATATCACAGTTCCGCTTTAAGTGCTCGATATTGATTAATTATTTTAAAATATCAATATCTATATATTTTATTTTGAAAATAAATTTCTATAATTTCAATTAATATCTTAAAAATTGAAAAATAAAAAATAAAAAGAGCGAGAGTTGAAACTTGAAATAAAAATAAAACTGTGTACGGACAGGTGGTGTTGACAGCTCGTTTACTGATTGGTTCTAGTTGGAGGGAGACAGTGGACATGGGTTTCACTGTAATACTTTGTGTTTGGTGTTTGGAATTTGGATTAATGCTTTTGGAACCATTGAGATTTATCATCATTTGATCATGGGAGTCCTCTATTAATCATACCTATATTGTGAATTAATTTTTTAGAAAACAATCTCATTGCTATAAATAATTAAGATTTTTTTCTAGAAATAAATATTAAAATTTCATTACTCAAATTCCAATCAATATAATTAGCCAATATAAAATAATAATCTCTTCCCGACACACAATATTAAAAAAAATCTAATTTATGCGGGCAAAGGTTAAAAATTTAATAGATTAAATATAATTTAATATAATTATATATATTAAAAAGCTTTAGTAATTATATATATATATATAATCTTAAAGATTTATTAACCATAGAAAAAATTATTTAGACAAGAGGATTCTTGAGAATCCTTTTTTCATTTCCATTTCCAAACTTGGAAATAAATTAACTTTTACAAAACGCGTTTCCGAAAAACCAATTTGAAAATTTATAGCTTATCAAAACTTACACTCCAGCCAAACGCAGTCTTAGCCGCAACTTAGGCCAGCGCACACCCCCCCCCCCCCGGTGACGCAATCATTCCCCCCCCCCCCCACAGGTGACGCAATCATTCGTTTGCTTTTTCATTAATTAGACAAAGGAAACGCGCAGCCACGCGCTATAACGTTGTAGTAGTGGCCGCGTGGAAGGAAAATGTAGGTGGATTGCACTGTAAAGTAACAGTGACGTCTTTAGGAGCCAATTGGGGTCTGTTTGGTAAGTAAAAAACAAAAAAATAAGAAGAAATAAAGGTAAAGCTTGTTGAATGTTAAACGTAACTGAACAAAAAGAAAAGAATCAGGTGCTTCTCTTTTAGTATGTTCTTTGAGTTTTGTTCATGTCTCCATTTTTTGGATTGCATAGCGTAAGAATTGTCAATAACCAAAGGGATTTTATATATTTACATTTATTTCTCTATAATCTTGTGAAGAGGTATTTTCCCATAAATTTTATTTATTTATTTTTTTTCATAACACGGATCAAAACATTCAATCTCATATGTAAGAGACAAGTCATTTTCACTCTGACTAACCCTCATTGATTAAATTTTAATTCTTTAATAAAAGAATGGAAGGTAATTAAATTTATGGGACTGCCTGATATTATTGTAATAATAATAAGTCTATTGATAAAATGTAAATTGGATAGAGATAAACTAAAAATCTTCAAAAATTATATTTCTTTCAAAAAATGAAATAGGAAAAGAATTTAGGATAATAAAAAAAGTAAAATAAAAATTATGGGACAAAGGAGCAGCGGTTCTCATTCTTTTTAATTGGATTAATTCCATTAACCGCTACATAATTTTTAATTATGTACAATAAGATTTTCGTCTAATTACAAACATTATAAAATAAAACTCACATTGATTAATAATAAAATAACCAAAGTACTTATAATTGAATAGGTGATGCACTTAATTTTATGCAAGAAAATTTCAACACTCACTCTTTTTTTTTTTTTTTTTTTTTTTTTTTTTTCTTTATTGTACACCATCAGTCTTCACTCATTATCTAGGAACTGCCGGAATTTAACTTGGGGCTTAATAAGGCCTTTTCGCCCTTTTATATGTGCATTTAGTGGGAACCAAACCAGAGAGCTTTTCCGTATATTGCAATCTGTATTGCTTTTTTTTTTTTTTTTTTTTTTTTTTATGTACACCATCAGTCTTCAAACTCAATTATTAGGAACGCCGAATTTAACTTGGGGCTTAATAAGGCTTTTCGCCCTTTTTATATGTGCATTTAGTGGGAACCGAACCAGAGAGCTTTTCCCGTATATGCAATCTGTATTGCTAACTGAGCCACAACTCATAAGTAAAACTCGCAGATTTATAAGCAGGAATGATTGAATTAATTTTAACTTTTAATCCCTTTTGTTTTACTTTCTCTTTCAAATTAACAATGAACATCTATCTCTGCTATAGATTCAACTTATTGATGCACTTAAGAAAATAGAAATTAGAAATAAACATCTCTATCTACTATAGATGGAACTTGTTTATTGGTGCACATAACAAAATGGAAATAAATGGTTGGAGGAAAGAAAATGGAAGTCTAATCTCTTTTCACACAAATGAATTAAGAAAAAATGGCTGCTTTAGGTGGAATATACGAAATTGAGATCAATTATTCATAATATATAAGGAAAATATAATATATAAGGAAAGATGAGAGCAACAAGGTTGATCTAAATTGGGCCTACTAAGCTAAGTCACTTTCCTTCTAATCTAATGGATTATTTTCATTTTTCCTTTTCTTTTTCAGAAATAATTATACAACTTAATTGTCAATTAGACGTAAGTAATCTATAAATTTTATCGTATTATGTGTATGATTGAATACTAATTGAAAAGATTAAATTAATTGATCATAAATAGATTTATGTGCCATTTTAATTATGAAGCATGCAATATATATAGATATTTCTTTTGATTTTAATTACTTTTAAATAAATATTTAGTGTGACCAACAATATGTTGATCGAGGTGATAAGCGATTTCAATCCCTGTAAATATGAAAATACAAATTTGATCTCCAAAAATACACTTTACTGAAAAGGGCATCCTTCACTTTTATTTAATGTCATCACTGTTTATGATTCACTTATTTATTTAAGATGTATGAGATTATTATAAAAAATAAAAATTTAAAAGGTATAACATGTCAGTTTAAAAGTTCAGACAACCATAAAATTCTTTTGTGAAAGTTAAATGCTAAATTATGTTTTCTCACCACCATTAGCACATGTCAGCCATGCAGGCGTGCACATCCATCCACCCTAAAGGCCAAGCAAGAACAAAATCATACAAAGAAAGAAAGAAACCTTCTTCCCACAGAGGTTATAATATGCTGCAGGCAGTGATCCCCCCTTGCCTTAGGTTCGAAGGGAGTCTGTATCGTGGATGATCAAATCTATTATTTAAATTATGATAATTAATCTAATAAGTACTCTTTGCCATTGAGTTATTTTCATTCGGATTATCTTATGAAATATTTTTAATGCTTCAACACCTTATCTTTATTATTATATTGTTCACGTATAAGCCTCAAGCTTCCTTTGATTTGTTTCGGATATTTTGTTTCTTCGTATGTATTTCACTAGGTTTTTTTCACATAATTATTTAAGTAGGTTTGGATGTAGTTGACCGCCTTATTAGTTTGAATTTAGTGCTTGAATTGATTAAAATTTTGCTAGATATTATTTAAAATAATAGGTTAGAAAAATGTGAAAAAATAGATTAGGGCACGTAAAATTTACAGATAAAGGCAATATTGAAATAAGATAGATTCAAATAACATGTGAAGAAAAAGAAAATTAGTTATTAATTATACATTGATGATATTGATTAATCTTGCATAGATATATGGTAAACCATTGGAAATAAATTGATGGATCAACAATATCTTGTAGGCCATTATTAATTTGATTAGATGGTCAAAAATTAAATGATTGTAGATAAAATTATCATAGGATAAACTTCAAAGCGAGGTCTTAGGCTCTTAGCCTACCAAATTCTCATTTGATTGATCTAAAAATTGCTGTCCTTATAGCCTTTTTTTTTTCCAACGAAAAGGGCCCTACACTCAAATTGCAGTATTGGAAGCTATTTCATGACATAGCTGATGACGTTCCCAAGCCATTGATTTCTTTTTCTTTTTATTTTAAATTCTATATAATAATAGAGCAAAATTATTTCAAATTTTCCTTTATATTTATAAATATCTTTGTCAAAAAACAAATTCCTAAGATGTTCAAACATTAGATAAGAGCGTGTTATTGAGTTTCATAAGAGAAATGTTTAAACATCAAAAAAATATAATGGGTGATGAGATCATTCAAACAACAGATAAAATTGGAACATTACATGGAACTCACTGCACATAAGCACAGAATTAATTAAGAAATAAATAGGATTAAGGTTGACTTTAATTATTATATATTAACAAAAAAATAAAACATTAATCATGAGTCATAACATACTTAATGGACAATAATGTGGCGCATCGCATCTCTAATTTGGTTGCATCATTAACATTTTTATTTCATTGGACCATACTTAATTATATCATTATATTTTTTGTGCTGAATCTGAGTTTTGTTATATAGCCATATTTTATTTTATACAATGATATTGATGTGTGCGTGTATATATATATATTGCTTAAAAACATTGCTTAAAGATTTATTTTAATAGTTTTTATTTTGCATCAA